ACCCTCAACATTCTTGAAAAGGTTTAGGTTTAAGGCACACATACATTGTCATTTCAAAACCTTCGTCTTTATCATGTGGCCCACTAAAGATTGTATAAGTCAATGTTTGAGTTGGTTCTTTTTTTTTCCCAAATAAATGTTTGACATGATGGAACTTACATTTTCTAAGTGTTTTTTTTTTTATGTTTCTATTTTATATTGGAAATTTACAGTAGTAAGCTGTGTGTGAATATAACAGTGATGGTACCATAGAAAAACTGTAATATACTGGCAACACTGCTGCCAGTAGTCTTCTGTAAATCTTATTTTTTTTTAAAACGGCAATGTGCTGTAATCAAAAGATTTCTTTTGTGACAGTAATATACTGTAAAGTTGACTACAGTAAGGGTACTGTATAATTAACAGTATAATGCTGGCAACCCTGCTGCCAGCATTTTACTGTAAAAATACAGGGCAATTTGTTACAGTGTAGAAGTAGCAACACCAAGCAACTGCAACATCATATATATATATATATATATATATATATATATTTCTTTCTCTCTCTCTCTTTCTAAATGAAAAATATCTTCTTGAAAATGTAGATATTTGCCTTCCCTTTGAGCCCAACTCTATAATGTTGGTCAGTCTAGTCAGAGTTAGCTGTAGCAATGAGCTGCTCGGGCCTCTAAAGGCTGGAGCTGCAGCGACTTGCGGTGAAGATACAGCAACTCTGACGGAGCGTGGTTTGGTCACGGGAAGCTGGAAGTGGAGGAGCGGTTTTGTGGCATAATCTGAACTGTGAGTGGACTGAGATGGCTAGGAGTAGTGGAGGGTGTTCAGATGATGATGGAATGGAAACAGGTTGGTCTGTGGTAGAAAATAAGAAAGGGGGAGGAGGGAAGGATAAGGGTAAAAAAGGGATAAACACAGGGAAAATATCTTTTGAAGATGAGGAGGAAAACAGCCTATAGGGAGGAGGTGCGGCATCTGGTGGACTGGTGCAAAGGAAACAACCTGATCCTGAATGTCAGCAAGACTTAAGGAAATCCAGACCCACCCACACACCACTCCTCATCATCGACTCAGCAGTGGAGGTCGTCCGCAGCACCAAGTTCCTGGGGGTGCACATCAACGAAAACCTCAGCTGGTCTCCCCACATCTCCTCACTGGTGAAGAAGGGCCAGCAGCGCATGCACTTCCTGCGTCAGATGAAGAGAGCATCCCTCCCGCCCCCCATCCTTCAGACCTTCTACAGAGGGACCATCGAGAGCCAACTGACCAGCTACATCTCCATCTGGTCTGGGAGCTGCAGGGCCTCTGACTGGAAGTCTCTACAGAGGGTGGTGAGGACAGGGGAGAAGATCACGGGGGCTCTGCTCCTCTGCATCAAAGACATCGCAGAGAGGCGCTGCCTATCCCGGCTCACCAGATCCTCTCCGACCCCACCCACCCCAACCATCGACTGTTTTCCCCCCTGGCGTCTGACAGAAGGTTCCGCAGCATCTTGTGCAGAACAACCAGACTACTGAACAGTTTCTTCCCCCGGGCCATCAGACTGCTTAACGCCACATAACACCCCTCCACACACACACACTCACAAACCAAACCACCCCCTCATGGACATGGTCATTACATGCACTTTAGTTTAGTTTTGTTCACAAAACTGAACCTGTGGATTCTATGGCACTTGTTTTTATTTATTGTGTAGTATAAGGTTTTAGCTCTGTTACACTGGTAGCCAAGTAATGGCATTTCGTTGTTAAGATTCACCTTGGGGTTTTTTTTGTACAATGACAATAAAGGAAGTCTAAGTCTAAGAAACCAGATGTAATATGTATTCAAGAAACTTGGTTAAAACAAACATTACAGTTTAGTATTAGTGGGTATTCAATTATACAAAGAGATAGAGGAAATGGAAATGGAGGAGGATGTGCTATATTTATAAAAGATTAAGATACAATGGATACGGAATTAGAGATTAATGGGATTACAGTGTGGACAAAAAATGGAAGTATAAAAATTATAAATTATTATAACCCTTGTAAAAAATAGATAAATTAAAGATAGAAAATATACTTAATCATAGGGGAGAGAAACCAATATGGTGTGGGGATTTTAATGCACACAGCACTTTATGGGGTGATAAAGATAATTATAATGGGGGAATCTTAGAAGGAATTATTGAGGAAAAAGAATTGGTAGTGTTAAATAATGGGGAAGGAACTTGGTTGGATATGATTAGTGGTAAGGAGTCTGCTATTGACCTTACTCTAGTATCTCAAGTTATGGCAGATAGTTGTAATTGGAAAATATATAAAAATAGTACAATAGGTAGTGATCATTATCCAATATTTATTGAAGTTGAAATAGACGTGGAAAAAGAACAGGTAAATAGTCAAGGAAGATGGAGGTTTAGAGACACTGATTGGGGAAAATATAAAGTTATGAGTGATGATAGATTGGTAAATATAGATATAAGTAAACCAATAAATGAATTAAATTTAAAAGTTAGTAAGAGTATTATTGATATAGCAAAAGAAGTAATACCAAAAAGTAAAGGAATTAAAAAGAAAAGAATATAAAACTGGGGAATTGCAGTGAACCAAATGAACTGTCAAACGTTGGACTAAGAAATGGCGTTCCCCAGTAAAGTCAGCGGGTACGTTTTTGTTTGTTGTTGTATTGTCGATTTGTGTTTTGTATTTTAATATTTGTATTTGTTTAGTTTTCACGATGTTGGAGGTTTTGATGAAGTCAAGTGACCTGGTGACCTGATGATGATCCAGCAAAATCATCAAAGGAGAAATAAAGCCAATATCACCTGTCAAGACCGGCTGTTTTTTTAATTCAAGTACTGGAGAGCAGCTATAAAGAGGAAAAATAAAATCATATCAATTTGGCTTTAGGAAAGGAAGAAGTACAACAGATCCTATGGTACATCTAGAACATGAAATTAGAAGAGCACAGGTGAATAAGGAGGTTTTAATGGCAGTTTTCCTGGATATTGAGAAGGCATATGATATGTTATGGAAGGAAGGTATACTGATTAAAATTAGACAAATAGGGTTAAGAGGTGAAATTTATAATTGGATTAAAGATTTTTTAACTGATAGAAATATGAGTTAAAATAGGAAATGAAGTAAGTTCAAAATATTTAACTGAAAATGGTACTCCTCAAGGTAGTATTATAAGTGAGTTTGGAATGACTTTATATGCGGATGATGGTCTAATTTGGAAAAGGGGAAAAATATAAAATTTATAAATAATAAAATGCAAGAAGCGTTATGTAGAAGCGTTATGTAATGTAGAAGATTGGGCTCTAAAATGGGGATTTAGAATTTCAATTTCAAAATCTAAATTTCCTAACTTTACTAATAGGAAGGTAGGCACTAATGTAAGATTAAAACTGTATGATAAGGATGTAGAAAGGGTAGATCAGTTTAAATATTTAGGATTATGGTTTGATAAAAAAAACTTACGTGGAAAATGCATATTAGTAAAATCATAGAGAAAAGTAAAAAAATATTGAATATCATGAGGTGTTTAAGAGGCAAAGACTGGGGTGCTGGTAGGAAAACTTTGAAAATATTATATATTGGACTTATTAGATCGGTAATTGATTATGGGTGTGTGGTATATAATTCAGCCTCAAATAGTTTATTAAAAGAGATAGATAAAATTCAATATCAAGCATTAAGAATTTGCTGTGGGGCAATGAAAACAACACCAGTGTCAGCATTACAAGTAGAAATGGGAGAGATGCCATTAGAAGAAAACAATTAGCGGTAGTGTTTTGGGCAAATATAAAAGGACATTAAAAAAGTTACCCTATAAATAATCTACAACCATTCCAAGAAAAAGTTAAGAACAAAAATATAAATAGTTTTGGCTGGATAATAAATAAAGAAATAAATGAAATGGGATTAAGTCAATGTTTAATTAGTCCGGTGATGGATATCCCGTATACTCTGCCTTGGATACAAAAGGAGACGGAAGGTGATTTAAAATTATTGGAAGAAGGTAGACAAATACTAGAGGGAGAGGTGGAAGGTTATATAAGAAGGGAATATGGTTAACACTTACAAATACAGATGCGTCAAAGATGGTAAATGATAGAGTAGGAGTAGCGTTTATAGTTCCTGATTTAAACATTATGGAAAATAAAAGAATACCGGATAATTTGAATGTATATATGGGGGAGTTAATGGCTATTTCAATGGCATTAAGGTGGAGTGACGAATTAAGTAGAAGATTTTAATTTGTTCTGACTCAAGCAGTGCACTAACAAGTATTATGAAGCAAGAGTCGGAAGCAAGACAGGACATTCTGATAGACATAAATAAGTCAATTTATAAAATGGAAAAAAAATTGATCTAGTGTTAAATTTATTTGGATTCCGGCTCATGTCGGAATAATAGGAAATGAATTAGCAAATACATTTGCAAAGAGTGCGACTAAAAGGAATGAAGTTGAACTTAAAGTTAAGTTTAGCAAAAATGAGATCAGAAATATGAGTAACATGTACAACAAGAAGAAATGGCAGGAACAATGGGAGAGTGAAAGGAAGGCAAGATTTTATTATAGTATTCAAAAAAAAGTGGGGGAATGTAGAAAAGAAAATAGGAATAAAAAAGAGGAGAATATTATATCAAGGTTAAGATTTGGACATACAGGGTTAAATAGCACTTTGAAAATAATTAATAAGCATAGTACGGGGTTGTGTAATTTTTGTGGGAATTTGGAGACAGTTCAACATATTTTTATGGAATGTAATAAGTATAATCTGGAAAGAGGGGAATTAATTGAAGAGTTAAATAGCAATAAAGTTAAATTAGATATTAGAAACCTAGGTCGTCTGGGGATGTGGTTTTTAGTTACGTGTTTAGATTTCTTAGAAGTACAGGTTTAATGGGGAGATTATAGAGGCTAGACATCTGGTCCATACTCCAGTCCAGAAGGTGGCGGTAATGCACCTAAAAGTTGTTTGCCAACCGCCATTAAACAAAAAGAAGAAGAAGAAGACCTGCGGCGAATCTGGGACACTCTCCTCCTCAACAGCACCGAGTCCAGGGCTTCACAGGTCGGTACTCGCTTTGGATAAGTTTAACAAGATGTTGGAATCTAGTTTATTAGTAGAGAGGATGGTCCAAACGCTTAAACCAGAACTTTTCGACATATTTTTACAACAGCATGTAACTGCAGCTTTGTTTAATCCGTTTTGTTAGGACTGTCAGCACTGAAACTATATCTTTTGTGGTTTTAATTTGAATGCGGTTTTCTATGTGTGTGTCTGTGTGTATGTATGTATGCGTGCGTGTGTGCGTGCGTATGTGTGTGTGGCCCCTCATTCTCTCCATGTCTCGTCCTGTCAGAGATGAGCTGTAGTGTCCTGGATGAGCAGCAGTTCCGTCAGTCCTGCCAGCTGCTCCTTAAGCGCTCTGACCAGCTGGGGGATGGCTGGAGCTGGGAATCCGTTCTGGTGAGGAGGTCTGTTTGTACTTCCTCTGTCACTGCGCACACAGCTGGACAGTTAAAAGGTATTATGGGCTTTTCTTAATACCACTGCAGGGCTCAGAAGAGGGCTACCTCAAAAAGACTGTACTAAGGTCAGTTCCTAGTGACTGGGGTCCACTTCATGTCCAGAAGGGGTTTTGTTTCCACCCACAGCCACAGACCCCGTGTGACTCTACTGGACAAGAAAAGGTAAGTACTTGTTTTACTTTGAAGCATAAAGATCACAGAGTCAGACATACTGAGGTCTGTTGTGTCTGCTCTTTCACAGCAGGACCCAGCAGCCTCCACTGGTTCTGACTTCTTCAGAGCTGAAGAAGAAGAAGACGATGATGATGGAAGCTACAAAGTGACCAACTGCAGCAGCCTGATGCTTCAGTACGAGTACCACATCCTGTTCTCCTGCAGCTACGGAGCTCCTGTCCTGTATTTCAGAGCGTTCACTATGGGTTGGTCACACAGAAAGCAGCATCTTACATTCACTCTGCTTTTTAGCATTAAGTTGACATCATCACCACCACTTCACTCTTCACGACTGCACCTCTGCTGACTTTGAATCCTTCATGACTCCAGCAGCTAGATGTTAGCTCTCCTGCTAGTCTGTGCCGTCATCTGTCTGAACTCTGTTCCACCTCAGCTGGAGCCAACAAGCTAAAACTAAATCTGCACAATATTTCTGTCTGACTGCCTGCCTGGCAGAAAGCAGCACAGTCCAGGTTCTGTCTGTACACAGACTCATCACCATCCTGCATCAGAGCAGACAGAGGATTCACTTCAGGAGTTTGAAATGAGGTGCAGCTATTTGTGAACAGAAATTGGTAAATAATGTGTGTTCCAGAGGACATTTGACCTTGGATATAATTTAGTGCTCTATGTGTTTTTTACTGTTCTTGTTTCAGAGGGGAGGAGCCTGGCATTAGAGGAGATGTGGTGCACCATCCACCCAAACTACAGGCTGTGTCTTCAGAACTGCCCTCTGAATGCAATAAGTCAGCAGGTAGGAACTCCCAACCTCCTCCTGGTGCCCAAGGGTCTCGGTGAAGCTCTGCTGAACCCTCATTCTTGGTGTGTGTGTGACAGGAGCACCCCTTGCTGGGCCAGCCATTCTTTTTCTTTCACCCATGTAGAACAGAGGAGTTCATGGGACCCGTGCTGCAGGCTGCTCCAGATCAAGGCAGGTAGGGTCATGACCTGGTTCCTAGTTCTCAATCCAAGAAAAGCCCACTGCTTAAGAAGGACTAAGATGACAACATTTCGCTGATGATGCCCAGCTCTTCCTGTCCACTTTACCAAACTCCTCACTTCCTGCTCAGCTAGAATGATGAAATCCTGGTTTGCATCAAACTCCCTTAAACTTTTTAATAATAAACCAGAAAACATGATGCAAGATGTGTTTTTAATGAATCCGGTAGCTGTGTGTGTTGAATCAGATCATAAAGCTGCTTATGTTTAGGTGCATGTGGTGTCAGAGTGTTGCTTGAGCTTTCTTGATGGAGTGCAGCATATTGAAGTTGATATGCAGGAACTTCAGTCAGGATAAAATATGTTGTGTTAAAACAAAACACTTTTGCTAATGAAGTGAAGTGGGAGTTTTCAGACCTGTAAAAGGCCCTGAATTTCAGACTGACTGGTTTTAGGAACACTTAGGACTTACGATGGGATATATTTCAATATGAGGCCAAGTCATGATTAAAGAAGAAAAGCTTTCAGTTTCCTTTATAATAATGTGGTTTCATCAGTTTGACACCATGTTAACCCATTGACTTGTATGTTTCCATGCCAACAGGCCAGTGCACTATGTGCTGTCGTGGTTGAGTGTGGTGGGGCCTGTTGTGGGTCTGGATGTTCCGCTGCAGTACTGCATACCTCTCCATTCTGCCGTTTCACTCAACAGTACAAAACCGGACTGAAGCTGAACAAACACCTGCCATGTTTGTCTTGTTTTTACATGTAACTATTTCTAATACCCCAAATAATTATGCTGGTATAGTCATTAAAATGGTACAAATGAGGGTGTGTGCCTGCGTGTTTCACAAACTATACTTAATTTTCATTTTGTAAACAAAAAACTTTTGTATATTTTTTTATGAAGCATTGTTCTGGAGTTCTCTCTAGTTTTCAAATTCTGTCAGTAATCAGATTATTGTTATGGAGTTTCTTCCACATTTAGCTTAGATCTATTTTTATATAGATATTCACTGTAAGAAATTTTTAAAGAAGCCCCATATAATTTCTCTTGCATTTCAAAATAAAAAAGCAAAAGAACTGTTGGTAAAATGGGATGCATACCCACTGAGGTTTATTTCAAATGAAAAAAACTCCACATAGTTTCTAACCCAAAAAAATATATCAAAAACATATTTTGGTACTTTTTAAGTCACTCTGTCAATAAAATTAAGTGCAGTTATTCAATGCACTTACAGATGCTGGTCTTAAAATTAGAATATCATGATGAAGTTTATTTAAATCAGTAATTCTGTTCAAAAAGTAAAATTTGTATATTGTATCCATTCATTACATGCAGATGAATATATTTCAAATGTTTATTTCTTTTAGTCTTTATGATTATTACAACTAATAAAAATTCCAAATTTAGTATCTCAGAAAATTTGAATATTGTGAAAAGGTTAAATATTGAAGACCCCTGGTGCCACGCACTAATCAGATAATTAGCTCAAAATACCTGCAAAGGCTTTTAAATTGTCTCAGTCCAGTTCTGTAGGCTACGCGATCCTGGGATTGACTGCTGACTTGATAGTTGTCCAAAAGATGACCTTTGACACTTTGCACATGAGGGCAAGACACAAATGTCGTAGGTAAAGAATCAGGTTGTGCACAGAGCTCTGTGTTCATGCACAAGAGATGAAGGGAAGGAAAAGATGTAGAAAAAAGCAGACAAGCAATCAGCATAACTGCACTCTGGAGGGGATTGTGAAACAAACCCATTGAAAAATGTGGGTTAGGTTCAGAGATTGGACTGACGCTGGAGTCAGTGTTTCAGTTTTTACTATCAGAGCAAACTGGCCTCTCTTAGCACCTGAGCTAAGAGTCCATCAGTGCCGCAGACTGATGGACTCCATGTCACGCCGCATTGCTGCAGTAATCTGGGCAAAAGGGCCCCAACTCTGTACTGAGTGCTGCACATGCTCATACTTTTAATGTTCATAGTTTTCACGTGGCCAACATTTATAAAAATCCTTTTTCTGTATTGGTCTAATTTTATGAGATAAAGAATTTGTGGTTTTCATTTGTTATCAGTTTTAATCATTAAGATTGAAAAAAATAAACATTTGAAATATATCAGTCTGTGTGTAACAAATTAATATAAAATACAAGTTTCACTTTCCGACTGGAATTGCTGTCATTTCAACTTTTTAATGATATTCTAATTTTATGACCAGGACCTGCACACATTATCAAGAGCCATTCTGGAAGGTCTGAGGAGCCATTGCAGATTGCAGACCCAAACTTCAATGAAAACCCAAATACTTAGTGATATGTGATGTTTGCTGTGCCCTGAATTAGAAAATCCTCCCTAATAGGCCAACTGTAGACCAGGACAGTGATTTTAGTGTAATAGGATTCGACAGACTGGTGACCTTTCCAGGGTGACCCCGCCTCTCGCCCAGAACGCAGCTGCTGATAGACACGAGCAACTCCCGACCCCGTTAGGGACAAGGGTGATAGGGTGATCAGGAAATAAGTGGATGGATGGATGGATGGATGGATGGATGGATGGATGGATGGATGGATGGATGGATGGATGGATGGATGGATGGATGGATGGATGGATGGATGGATGGATGGATGGATGGATGGATGGATGATGGATGGATGGATGGATGGATGGATGGTGGATGGATGGATGGATGGATGGGGGGTGGGTGGGTGTGGGTGATGGATGGATGGATTTATTTATTTATGTAAAAACAGAATGTAATTTAAATGTTGGGCTGGAGAGCAGATCAACCAAACATGAAAACACTTGCTGTGAGTCATGACAACCAGCAGATGGCGGTAGAAGCTCACAGAGTTCTTTGTCCATAGCATGCAAAGAAAGGTTTAGTGGAAGGAAAGTGTGTGGTCGAAAAGAGCACAAGCAACTGTGATAACTGCAGCATCGATGGGATTGTGAAGCAAAAACCATTTGAGAGTTTGGGGAGATTCACAAGGTGCTGACTGCAGCCGCAGTGAGAAAACAAAGTGTAAAGGAAAAGAGGAGAGTTAATGCGACACTGCATTAACACAGTAACTCAAGCAAAAGGAGGCCAGACCACATGCATGTACTGTACATATACAGTACAGTATGTATATGTATATGTACAGTACAGTATGTGGATACACATTTAGTAAGTTCACAATTCAAGGCTAAAATTTCAAGATGTGTAGAAACGTGTTTTGAATGGATTACTATGAAATTAATAGATAAAATATATGAGTTTTACTTTATGAGTTGAATTACTGAAATAAACATTTTGGAGGTATTCTATTTACTCTAGATGCTTTGATTTCACTGTAATCTTCAAACAGAGGCTGGGCCAGCACCACCACTCATACTGGTGGTGCTGGTGGAGGGTGAGAGGGGATCATTGATGATGGTAGATCGTCACCTCACTCATTTAAACTTGTGAGGTCTTAGTTCCAGTTTGTCATACAGTCTGCTATTCTTCTCCAGTCGGTCAGTGACTCTGACATGACCTGCAGAAAATCTGCAAGAGATCTTTGACCGAACTGAGTGGATTTTCCTGCTGTCAGCAAGTTTCTCTCTCCAGGACTCTGACACATGATGGAAGATGTCCTTGAAGCAACATTTGAGTCCAGGCAGTCCTCATCCCATCTCAGCAGTCTGCGTCCTCTGCCGGCCCCTCCCTCCCCAACCCCACCGAGCTGTCCTCTCTGTTCCTTCTTGTTCATTTACCTCGGCTGTCTGGCTCAGTGCCCTGGAATAACTGCTGTTCCTTCTTCTCAGAGCAGGCACCCTGTGTTCAAGACAATACAACACTTTAAATCACTGCAGGGTTGAACTGTGTTGTTATAAAATCTTCAAATTACATCAAAGGACCCTGAAAAAGGTCTGTAACGAATCAGAGCTGTTTAGTAACAGTTATGATTTCAGGTCAAGGTGAAGTAATGTAAATCGTGGAGCTGGGAAGAATCCAGACAAGGGACATTTTCAGAGTTTCATGAAGTGTTCCTAAACAAAGACATACTGATACTGATGGTCAGTTTTTGAAGGAACCCACCACTGAAACTGAAATCCTTTCTCATGCAACAGATTTTACTAAATATTTAAAAAACAAAGACGTTTGATTTACTTCATTTAGTCAATGTGAATGAACATCTGCTTCATTAAATGTAAAATTTATATTTTTGTGATGACATACATAAATTGAATTGAAGTTTGTGAACTTTAAGCCAAAGGTGTTGATTACAGCAACCAGACTTTAACCACAGTAAAGTCTGGTTGGAGCACAAACATCTTAAATCGCTCAAGTCCAGGTGACAATTAAATGTTCACTCTGCCGACTATCAGACGTGTCCTTCTGGTTGCTAAAGATGCTTTCTTTGTTTCTGGCTTTGAAGACAGTGTGTACAGAATGGATTCATTTGCCACATGCAATGTTTGCCCAAATGATTTATTCCAACAGAGATTAATTAAGAAAACCTTAATTAGACATAGAGGTTTGAGGTGTAGCACATAATACAGCAGTATGAAGAGGGAGAGAAGAGAACCCATCATTATTTGATGAATACCTTCATTACAGTTATTTGTCCATCGTCACACGCTCCAGTAGGATCCATTCTGATCCATTACGTCAAATGAAAATCAGTTTTGGATTCACTCTAACCACATCCTTCTTAGAACAATTAGAAAGAGTTCAACAGAATGGTTCACAGTAAGAGTCAGAATCAGATTTCCTTTTATTCTCCTTGTGCACAAAGAATGACCAATGAAACTTCAAAATAGCACCTTTCCAAGGGAAGTCGAATAATTCAATGGAATAATAATAAATAAGTATATGTAAATAAAAATATAAAAATATTGTAGAAATATAGAACAACTGGGACATTAATAAAAATAAAAATAAATAAATGATCAGCTTATAGATGGATTGGCTGTGTTGAGAGTAAAAACAGCTCTTGGGTAGGAATTGTGTTTTTGTGGTGGGGTCCAGCATTTGAGGGGTCCTTGGTGGTTAAAAGGCTTCTAAGCTAATCTGAGATCCACTCTAACTGACAGTGATCTGTTGGTGTTGTCAAAATCAAGTAATTATTTTCTTTGACTTTTGTGACTTTATAGAATGGTGCATATTATTTTAATTTGTCACAGATGATTCTTTTTGGGGGCCTGATTGCCCAGCTTGTCTCTGATTGGGTTAGAGGCCCTTTAATCTCTCTGTTCACACATTGCTTGTCTGTAACAAGCTGAGACGACATATAGCCAAAACATGTCCTTTCCTTGCTTTGTATATTTTTGGAGTGCTGGTTATCCCTGGTTTTTGTAGCTGCAGTTTGAACACATTTCAACTGATGATCCTTTCAGATAATCTGCAGCTAAATTCCCTCATAACAACCATCAGTTTTAGAAAAATACATCTCAAAGCTGAATTTATTTATTGTTATTAATAGTTCATATTTATTATTCTTTCACCCTTTTTATTTTTTTAGTTAGTTTGATGAGGTTCTTATTATTTTGTGTTTAACTGAATGTCACTTATATGTGACATTCACTTAAACATTTAAATTAAACATTAAATTGTGTTTATATTTTGGAAAGAACTTGTTTATTCTATAAATCAGGCTTACAGTTTGAAAATTCACCTTTTTTTTGACCGATAATAACCTTTCATCATGACCCCACTTCATTGAGTAAGAGTATGCATGAGTTCCATGTTATCCATGGAACTGATGGACAACATTAGTGCCATGGATGTAATGTAAACATTTCCTAAACACATCAGAATGTCCTGCAGCTGGAGAAAGACAAGAAGAAGTTTTAAAATGAAAAACGTGGCAGAGCAGATCCTCCCTTCCTCAGAAGTCAGTCCTGTGTTTTCATGCAGGACTGACCAGCAGCCAGGGAGCCCAAGCTCCACTGGAGTCTGTGAAGTCAGTCAGCGTGGCCCCGCGGGCCCCTTCCACTCCGGGCTTATTCAACTCACAATGAGCAGAAGGATTAAAGCAATAAGTGACAGCAATGAGCCAGCTTTGGGCCCTGTCGACCTGCTGTAAAGGGCCACGACCAGAACGGTGTGATCTGGACCAAGAAGAGGGTTCTACACGAAGTGGCCAGTTTTCTGACTGTGTGTAAACACAGATTTAGAGTACAATAAATTAACAGATTAAAATGAACCCTCGCTTCACATATATTTGGTGACATTATACTCCAGCTCCTAGCTCTCAAACACATTTCATAATTTTCTGCTTTTTTGCTGGTGAAAAATGCTAACTGTTGCATGTTGTGTGAGCTAATATGTGAAAACTAACAACTTTTCTCCAAGACATTTTTTCTGACAGTAAACAGGATCCTGACCTGTAGACTGGACCTCTTTGAATAAAAGAAACAAAACAAATCCTACTGAAGACGCTGTGATTTATTTCAATAAGCTTCCATTAGTTTACTGAAACAGGAACTTGTATCATCTGTTGGACGGCTGGATCAATATTGGTGATTAGGTGGAGCAGGTAGGCTGGAGAGAGTCTCCCAGTTTGAATTTACACCTCAGCTTCATTTCCATGACACTGAGAGGAACAGGAAATTTCCTCTTCTCCTTTGGGAGGTTTTGTACGGAAAACAGGAAGATGACCTCTGCTTTGCCTGCTGACTCACAGCATGGCAGTTAACAGAGCTTTACTCTTTGAACTGCGCTGTCTCTAAATGCTTTATCTATGGAATTATTATTATTATTATTATTATTATTATTATTATTATTATATTATTATTATTATTTTATTATTATTATTATATTATTACATAATAATAATAATATATATTATAATAAATAATAATATATTATTATTATTATTACCATTATTATTATTATTATTATATATTATTATATATTATAATAATAATAATATATTATTATTATTATTACATAATAATAATATAATAATAATAATAATAATAATAATAATATAATAATAATAATAATAATAATAATAATAATAATAATAATCAAGTCAACAAAACTGAAAAGAATCACTATTCAAACTTAAACATTCATTGCTCTCATTTTTCATTGTCTGTATTCACTGTGAGAAATCCAGTCCTAACAGGATACAGCATGCGTTAAATATAAACATAAGCAGATTTTGGCTGAACTGCATTGCTTTGCACCACAGAGACTTGCAAACAAAATGGTTCTTTTTGGAGCTGCTCATAGGATGAGAACAGTGTCTTATCATAGGGTCAGTTTGGCATTTTCTGTAATTAGAAGCTGATCTTACCTGAATTTGTCACCATGGCAGCTCAAATGATGCTGGAGAACTAACCAGACCATCAACCAATCGCAGCCCTGACTAAATGATGCCAAGAAAAACCATCATGTGTTTTTATTTTCCTCAACATTAATGTTTACCTTCATGAGAAATTTCTCAAGCCATTTCATTACATAAAATATTACAATTTCATTTAATATTGTGACATCTGGTCACCATGGTTAGGTGGCCAAAGTATCCAACTATTTTACCCAAGCCACAGTAGCAGTCTTTCAACATGTCTTTACTCAAGTAAAAGTAAAAAGCAACCTTCCACGAAATTACTCAAGTAAGAGTAAAAATTCAAATTCAAAAATACTTTATTTATTTCAAAGGGAAATTAAATGTTGTAACTCATGAATTCAGATTCTTCAAAGAGTTATTGTAGATGGTGATGGTTGTTGGCAGGAAAGATGGTTGTTGGCAGTTTACAGACTGCTGCAGATCTCCTGTAGCACCCTGTATTACAGTGACTCTGAAGAAACCTCTGACTGAAGATTTTCTGTATTCTCAAGCCAGTCTCTTGAAGAGCATGATCAGGGTTGCCCATAATTTATTGATTTTATGAAGAATCCTTCTTTGAATCATCATCTCCAGAGTTTCCACAGTCGTTCCCAGAACAGAACCAGAACAGAACCAGCCTTCTTTATCAAGCTTTTGAACCTTTAAAAGTCCCTGGTTCTGATGCTGACGCTCTCAACAATAGACTGATAGAACATCTGCAGCATCTTGCTTTTTCACCATAAAGAATTTTGTAAAAGAAAAAAAATCTACTCAAATACTGAGTAACTGATTAAATTAATATTTGAAAATTACATGATCAGATGAACCAAAATATAAAGTTCAGTGGAAGTGTTGGTATTTTTATGATGAAAATACAAATAATTCATATAGGTAACAAAACATAATAAAATTAGGTAAAAAATTATTTTCAATTAAAAAAAATAAATTCAGTGTCTTCTGTGTCTGGTGAATGTTTGGTTTGAACATGTTGTTTTTTTATTCAGTGAAATTCCTCCCAGTGGGCAGACAATCCAGAAATGTTACTCAAGTGATACTTCATAATAAAATTACTAACCATAACCCAAAAAAGTACAGCATTGTAAAAATATTCCTAAAAGTCAAATTTTCAAAAAGGTCACTCGAGTAACTAGTTACCTACGACAGGCTGACTTGTCCAGTGTGACTCTCCTCTCGTACGGAACATAGCTGGAGTAGCAGCAGCAGACCTCCTGATCCACTAGATAATAAACTAGGACATTAACAATATCTCCCCTGCTGGACTCAGTGGTTTATAGATTCATGAAATGTGATGAGGATCTAAATCAGTCAGATTTTTGCATGGGGTTTATTAAAACTATCTATAACACCTGCAACCTTTAATACATTATAAAAAAATAAATGTTGCTACCATTCATACATTCATAAAAATTCTGTGATATTGATCAGTGTGTTCATATGTTCTTTTTTTCTCTTTCTGCAGATGTAGAAGCAGTCTTCTCCATTTCTTTTCTTCTTTATTTTCTTTTGGGCACACATGTAACATGTCCATTAGATTTTATTTAAACCCAAAGCAATTTCTAAATGTGTAAATGTGAATCTTGTCCTGCTCTGACCGGCTAATTGCCCTTTATGTCATCAAAAGTCTAGCAGAATATTCCTCTACAACACTCTGACAACATGACAATCAACCTGACTGTCTTATCCAAACACAAAGAAACAAGGACTTAATATTCTGAATCTCTGACATGTTCATTGATGTGGATATTTCATTTTGAGACATAAACTAAGAATTTTGAGAAATAAACTGGAATCTGTAAGTAATCCATGATGTTTTGATTCATACAAATTGTTTTAAGAAATGCATTTAATGTTTTGTAAATGTAGGAAATTATTTGAGAAATCCACCAAAGCAACATATAAAATCTGTAATCTGGTCTCATCCCAACGAGATTTATGGAATATGACTGTATATGTAACACAGCCATAATCTACTGATTAGAAAACGGAATTCCGGGAATTCCACATGATATATATTCTGTGACTCTATTGGTCAAAAACACGTGTTCGTGAGGCCTGTAAAACGACGTCAGCGCGGAGTCCTGCAGCCAATCAGAAATCAGACCCAAAATGTTTAGTGAAGTATTTGAGCGGCATTTTCATCAAGAGGATTTAGTGCAGCAGGAAGCTTCTCTAACTGAGCTGCAACAGTCTGCAGCTTCACACTTTGGTTGGTTTATTTGATTGTAACAGGTAGTTTGTGCTTCTGTGTGGTGAAGGAGGAGAGCAGAGAGGAGAGGGATGCTCTCATCACAAAGAAAGCATGATTGTATGGGCCGAAATTCACAGGCGCGTTTTCAGATCTGAGCACTTTTACCTGAGATCCAAACACACTGCCTGCTTTTCTGTCGAGTTTTTATTTTTTATTCTTTCCAACGGCATCAGCTAATTGCTAGAAGGAAGCCAGACACTGATCATAAACTTGGATCTCTTTCTTTGGAGCTTCAGCTCATCATTATTATGGAGGAAAATGTTCAAGGAGAAGCTCAGTGTCCAAAGAGTTCTGGAGGGGAGTCCAACCGGGCCATCCTGCCTCTGCTGCAGCAGCCCGGAGTTCAGCAGTCCACCCGGGTCACCAACTTCTACATAGACAACATCTTAAGGCCGGACTTTGGCCGAAAGAGAAAGAAAGGCACAATATGTGTTCGGGGAGGATACGGGCTGGAGGAGAGGAGCGAGGTGTCACAGAGAAAAGCTTCCAGGACGGACTCAAAGCGCGGCAGGACAGGAGGCGGAGAGGACAGCCTGGGGACGTCCGAGCACCAGGATGCGGGGACAGAGGCGAGCGGCCCCGGGCTGACAGCCTGCGACCCAGGCCGAGGGATCTCCTGCCGCAGCCCCGAGAGCAGCGCGGCTCCTGCGGCCCCTGCGGCCCCTACGGCTCCTACGGCTCCTGCGGCCAAGCCGATGCTGTGGCCCGCCTGGGTTTATTGTACCAGGTACTCCGACCGGCCTTCATCAGGTTGGTGGAAAATGTTTCCTCAATCACATCATTTTAGATACATTTAAAATGCGAATTTTAATGGTAAAATTAAATATTATCATTGCGATAAAAATAAATAAATAAATAAATAAATAAATAAATAAATAAATAAATAAATAAATAAATAAATAAATAAATAAAAGATGAAATTGTGGGAAAGGCGAGGGGAAAAAAATCTTATTTAAACTTTGAAATATGATCGATGGTATTTTAAAATGAGCTGGACAGTAGAAACAATAGTTTAAGTAAAAAAACGAAACACTTTGAACAAAGACTTTGCCGTTATTGCATCAACAAATAAATATTATATTATTAGAATTATTTAGCCATGATCAAAATGAAACATGAAGAATTTATAGAAAGAAGATAATTTATGTTTCATGCAGCATATTCATCATGAAACGTACGCATTCTGCAGGACTTGGGTTTTTGACTTTTGATTTTTCTGACCATAATAATCTGCCAAAGTGGACACAAAGTGTTTTATTGAAATAAAAGTGAAATGGAAAAACAAATGTTTTACAGCCATAAACATAAAATACAGAAGTAAAACCAAGTTTAACGTCATTGATCAGCCGCTTCTTTGTTATTTTACCATTTGCATTTTTTTTTTCTAACAAAAGAGTTGAGGGTTGAGGGGGGAGGGTGTGAAAACGTGAGGGGGCCGTGAAAAACAAAAATCCTGAAACATTTTAAATCTCCCTTTAGGAAGCAAGAAAGAAAAACTTGACCGCTCATCTGTGGCTGCATTTAATTGAGTGAAAAGTTGGCTTCACGTCAACATGCGCTTTGTCAGCATTCAAACAACATAAAAAATAATCAAAGGAGGAGTAACAATAAAAACGGAATGAACTGAGCATACCGGGAAGCCGAGCAAAAGTAGTTTGATTTTGTTCACCAAAATACAAAAAACAGTGTTTTAAGGTTCGGGCCCAACGAAGCCTGAAACGCACACAGCTCATCTGAACCTCGCAGCTCGGATTCATTGTTGCTCCGTTTCATCAAATGTCTGACGGTCGTTTTCATTTGTTTTTATTCAGTCTGATCCTCTTGATTTTTTGCTAGATTTTTGTCTTTTTCTCAAAACCAGTTTTAAACTTTAATGTGAAACTGAATAATAAAACCAGAGGCATTTGACCCCCACTCCCGGCCCGTCTGCTGCGACTGCAGACAACAGACCAGAAATAACAAACCTCATCAGAAACCCAAACGTTGCGCAATTTGAGGGAAACGGGAAACGTGTGATGCAAATCTGATTTAAGGGAATATTAAAAGTTTCCTATTAAAGATGCAGTGCAGGGGTATTGCCTCAGAATAAATCGCGTCCTGCATTCTGAAGTTTGGCCCATGAGATAATGAACCGATGAACAAGAAAAATCCCCGATGTTCATGTCAGGAAGTTGAGAGCGCGTCTTCCTCAGCCCGTTTAAATCACAAAAGTTTCAACAAAGCCTGAAAACGAGCTAACCGGATGTTTTGTTGTTTGTTCTCTCGTTTCCACACAAGGGCCCAGATCCCGCAAACCAAAGAAAGCCCTGACCCCTAGCAAGGAGGACAAGCGGCCCCGGACGGCCTTCAGCACCGAGCAGCTGCAGCTGCTGAAAGCAGAGTTCCAGAAGAACCGCTACCTCACCGAGCAGCGGAGGCAGAACCTGGCCCTGGAGCTCGGCCTCAACGAGGCGCAGATCAAAATCTGGTTCCAGAACAAGCGGGCCAAGATTAAAAAGGCATCCGGGAAGAAGAACTCTCTGGCGGAGCACCTGATGGCGCAGGGGCTGTACAACCACTCCGCCGGCCGGGAGGCGGAGGCCCGCTCCGACAGCGACTGAAGCCTGCACAGCAGCAGCATCCTGCACAGCAGCAGCATCCTGCACAGCACCACCATGTCTGACATCACAGTTCTGCTGGACTGTTTGAAGCGCGCGCTGATGGGGCCGCACGCCGCACGTGGCAAACTGAGATACAGCCAGAAGCAGTCTCACAGACAAATCTCTTGAAATGTTTTAGATGTATAGTTCTTTCATCTTGAAGGCTCAGCTGAGGCTCCAGGCCGGCCAGAACCACCGGCTGGCAGCCTGGCTGCTGGAACCCAAAGACAGCAGCTGCTTCAGCCGCTTCATGGTAGGCCTTCTGTTTATCCAGCTGTTCTGTTGCTACATTTTCCTTTGTGAGTCAAAGCTAAGCTATGTTTCATTTTAGAGCTGATCTGGCAGCAGGCGCCTGCAGAGCTGCTAGTTTTCTAGGATTTCAATCATTAATGGACCTGACCGGAAATGCCTTTGATCTGTGGTTCCAGTGCTGCCTTATAGCGTTTCCCTCAATTTCCCTGCAAACTATCGGTGTCAATAAGTGGGATCACGCGCTCTTATTTATATCCAACACAGCCAGAATACAGAGCAAAGACGCTCTGACATGTTTACATAATTTATTTTTCTACACAAACCTGTCTTTGAATGCAACGTTTGGCGGATCAATGATTATGAATCCAAACCAAATGTTAGCCTTACAATGCAGTCAACTTTTTAGTTTCCTTAAATTGCTTCTGTTTCCTAATGAAGATTTTATGTTTTCAGTCGTTTTGTCCATTTCTGGTAAAATTCTCCTTTTTATACATGTAAATAATTTGTGTCATGATTATGTGTAAATAAACAATGCAGATCTGGCTTTTTAGATATTTTATTTTATGCCCAAATACAGAATACATTTTATGAAAATAAGCAACTGTCCATCAGACCTGACTTTGCAAACAGTTTTAGCTTTAATTATAAATGCTCAGATAATTTGCCTCAGATGGAAATAATCTATATGTACATTTGCATTTCCTTTGTTTAAGGTGCTAATTTAAAATCCAGTGATTGAATGATTCACTTATTCAATACGTATACGCATTCACTTTATACAATTTTTTGCAAGTACAAGAAAAGCTTCAACTGATGTTTCACTCTGAACATAAATATTTTCCATAAGTGTAAAATATTGATTAAAAAGCTCCAAGCATAAAAGTCTTCACAGATCAAATGAACCATATCCTTGTTGCTGTTTCAAAAATGAAGATCAGAGAATAATAATAATCCTACAAAATTTGTAGACATTAGCAATTAAATAACCATCATAGAAACAAAGGCATGTAAGTAGAATGTATGAGCAGGAACCAATTCAGAAATATGAGGGTTCCTGGACTGGAGTCAGTTTTGGTGCTCTGTCCAAAGAAAAAAAAAAGACAATAAATATTTTACTTGTGCAAATTACTGTGATACTCAGTTAAGCAGAATCACTCAAAACCATTTGGCAGATTGCTTCATGTGCTATAATAATAATTTTTGAATATTTGAGTGTTTGAATTAATTCAAATTCAAGAACGGTAAAAAAAAAAAAGAAGAAACAAATGCAAAATGAGACCATGAATTTATTATGTGTTTATTGTGAGGTGAAATTTTTGTGAAACATTCACAGTACACAAAAAAAGATCCCCCACCCCTAAAAAAACAAAATTCAGCCCTGTGCTACTGCCCCCATGATACCTTTCTTAAATCTGGCACATAAGACATTATGGAGCTTCACAGTGGGCAAATTCAGCTGACAAATATTTCTTTACTAAATAATCCAAAAGTGTGTTAGATCCCAAACAATCATGTAAATAACAGCAGATTTTGTGTATCCATACAGGTCATGAGAGCCCATATAAGTTGCTGGTTCAAATCATCCATTCACCTGACATATTTAACATCTAATATAGAAAATAACAGAACAAATCTATATTAGCAACAATTCTTGGGTATATCAGATTTTTTTTATGTTTCTTGAGACAGTCATCTCAGCTAGGTTGAGTTAGAAAAATATTTTCAAACTATAACAACCCTGAAGATGAATCAGATGGCATGTTTGGTTGAAGTTGCCTAACTTCACTCATCTCTTCACTTCTGGGTTTCATCTACCTGTCAGAAGAGGGGAGCAGTGGGAACAAGAGACACAGACAGAAATATGAAGACCAGAGGAAGATCCACTGTGTTTTCTATTGGCAATGATAGCAGCAGCGGCCAGGGGGCTGAATGGCTGCAGAGGCCCTCATCTGCATTTCCTTTCTTAGCTGACTTGTATGTGGAAGTGATGTCCAACGGTCGCTGACTGAAGAACTCTGCTGCTCTTGACTTGGGTGAAAAGGCTGGGAGCCGAGTTTCTACACACTGTCAGTTGCTGACAGCCGAAGGGTTGGTGATGCTGGGTATGTTAGGGTATGCATATACCCCAGCATATGCTGGGGTATGCTAGGGTATGGAGGCACAGGACCTGGATGATGGTCCAAATATTTCCATGCAAAGCAGGAAATGATGATATTCAGACCAAAATCAGACATTGTTACTGTCATCCTGCTCCAACTGGGAATTTTAATAAATCAGGAGGAATAATATTGCAGTAACATGAAGCCTAGGCTGGTTTTTACATTTGAAGCATGCTTTTAAAATAAAGTCAGAAAGCATTCCAATGTTTAACATGTCAGTCTTGTTCTTGCTGGAGTTTATTGTTTTATATTCCTTTCCGCCTCTGTTCTAGAACCAAACTGGAAGACTTTTCTGCTTTTATTTAAGTTTAAAATAATTTGGAAGTAAATGTTTGCTGCTTGGAGTTTTTTAATGTCCATCCACCTTCTAAGGTAAGCTACAGCATATTTCTTGAGGAAAAGAGAGGGTTTATTTATTTTTTTGTTTTGTTTCAGCATCCGTTTTGACATTTCTTCAGCAAATGTCAAAAACGGCAAATAGCAATTCTTCCCAGCAAATAGATGTGAAGAATTAGAGTCTAATGATAATAAACCTGGAGAGGACAGTTCAGACTCATATGTTGGTCTTCATTAACAAATCAGGAGCCTGGATTGAGCCAGCATGAATCTCTCTGGATGCTAATGTGTGAACACTTGCAGGTTATGTCCGTGTTTCTTTCTAAGATTATTTGAATTGTTTCCATAAAAATAAACAGAATTAATATGAAGTAAATTGCAGGATCTGACCATAAGAGCATGGATATGTTAAAAAAGGAAAAAACAACTTTCAGTGCCCCTCTGTGTTGCATCTATTCAAACCGGTTGTTCTTGAGTGAATGCCAGCCCAAAGAAAGGACTTCCTGCAGTGGAATCCAAACTTTTTGCCTTGTGACCCAAATTCATCAAGTTGAAAGTGATTTTTTTACAAAATCATGTAAAAAAAATGCAAACACATTTTTTATTTTGATTATGTCTCTATTTTTACCTTCTCAACCATAAACTAAATATTTTGTGTTTTATTGAAAATTCAAGTTATCTTATTTTTGTATAAAACATAAAAACAGGATGAGTGTGGATCGATTGTTCTCTTTGTTCTCAGCCTAGAATGATTGTGTGGCTTAGGCAGCTTTTATTTGAGAGTAGTTGTACAGGAAAGTAGGTAATGAGAGATGGGGAAGACATGCAGCAAAGGTCATCAGGCCGGGAATCGAACCAGTGACATCCGCGTCAAAGGCGAAGGCCTCCATACACGGATTGTGCCACCACAGCACCCTAAGGCTGATGGATTTTTGGAGAATCAAACAAAATAAATTGTTTTAAAAAATCAAATCTTCTGTACAGTATGTAATATTTTCCATTTTAAGTAACCTTAATTTATCAAGTAAAATCTCACCCAAAATTTGTTGACAAACAACTAAAACTCTTGCAATGCCTGTAAGCGGCATATAGTGAGCTAGGTACTTCTCATAAATGAAAATATGTGTTTCAACATACATTTCATTAAACTCACATTTATATATTAATGTTTTTTCTTGGTCTAATATAATAGATGTAGTGTTTTCAATAGCTGTAAGCAGAATAATATAAATAATAGAAATAAAGGTGCATAAACATCCATTTGTGTGGAATTAATGGAATTAATATTGCTTAGTGAAATATAAAATAATATATTTTGCATAGGAAGGTTTAAGCAATGAAACAAGATTTAATTTTTTACATATTTGTCTGTAAGCAACACTGATGTCCTTTAATATCCTAAGTTCCAAAGTTTTTGCCAGATTCATGGCAACTAAATGTATCTTATTTGAATTTTTGTCACCTTTACTTGCATTAAATTCACAGAAACCCTCATTTCAAAGAAATATAAAACACTTAATATGTAGAATAACTTAACATTTTATCATCAAAATTTGAAGAATGGAACATCTCACCACCAAAGCATTTAACCACCCTATATGATTATCATTATAAAATAATGAAAAGATGAAAATGAGGTTTGTTAATCATCGCTTATTCATGACTGTGTATGTTGACATGTATCCAAGGTTTCATTTAATAATACTTTAACCAAGCATACTTGTCTTATTGCCTGAGTACGGGAACATTTCATTCCAATTTCTCTCTTCCCTGGTTAAATACAAGTTAAAAAACATAACACTGATTTATCTAAAGTTCAGACATCCTCTTGTCATAAACTTCACCTCTCCAACAGGCAGAGGAAAAGGGCAGATGAGTAGAGAAAAGAAAAGTACATATCACTAAGTACTGATGTCTCCTGTGTCTCAGTCAAACAAAAGATTGCACACCCAGTCCCCCTCCCCCACTGAGAGATTTGCCCATAGTTCTCTAAACGCTTCCTAGTCAAACTTGGAATATGGAATGAAGAGGACAGGGGCTTTGTGGCGGAAATATAATTACAGCCACTAAAAGCTGGTGACGGTGAAGAAAGGGAGATGACATCAGGACAATTTCACACCTAGGTCTTCGATGGCCAGGCCAAGCCTGGATGTTGCTGCAATACACTGATCAAAGCCTGCTGCAGCTGGCCTGCACCCCCCACTCCTCACCCTCTGTACCCCTGTAGCCCCCCGCCTATCACCACCAAAAGAGGAGACTTATATATGCTAATCTCCAGGACAAATATATTTTTAATCTCGTTAGAAAACAATTTAATACTGAAGTTCAATGACTAAACTTTATGAGAAAACAGTGGCGATTCAACAATGCATGACTATTTTTGCTTTAATACTTTGTTTCAAAGCTGATGTTCATTGTCAGAATATAATAATCTTTCTGCAGTAACAACATGACGGTGCTCTACCAGAAGCCTGGTGCATCTGGGACGTCTGGGAGACCATGTTGTTTTTAACCCAGAGCAGTGGGAGGGAACAAAAATCTTAACCAACTCCGAGCACCTTTAAACCACATTTAGACATCTCTGTGGATGTTGTTTCACCTTTCCTTTCACTTTTCACCCACAATGTCAGATTAATTAGACAGAGGACAGTGCTATTGTTTCAGTCTAGTTAACAAAAGCTACTTGAAGGCACATTTCAGGGACTCTGTAACTGGAAGTACAACTAGTGCCTGTTTCTATTGTTAATGTGAAGAAAGGAACATGGAACTTTGCTCACCCTCAATGAATCTCTTAGTTGTGCAATAAGTTTGGTAAACTGAGGTGAAAGTGAGCATCCAAATAAAAAGGGTCTCAAAGGGTCTCAGACATCCTGCTTTAAAATATTTGATTTTCAATTAGATACATCTAGGGGTGAAATGATTAATCGATTGTTGAAATAACCAGTTAATTTAGTAATCAATGAAATGTTAACTGGAGGACTCAATAAAGACATTTTTGCTGAAAGAAGATACTCAGTAATTAATCCAAAACTGCTTACATTTTGTATTTAAAATAAAAAAACTTCTGTTTTCAAACAAAACACCTTCAGTGGTAGTTTTAGCTTCATCTGGTTCACATTCTGTAAAATATAAAAAAATTCTACCACCGAAGCACCTTTGAAGAAATGGTCAGCAGATCAGACCTGCTCTGTACTGATGTTCAGTCAACCTCAGTTTTTCATGTTAGAATGACTTTTTAGCTGCAGATCCAACCTTTATTACAAATGATTAAGCATTCACTGAAAGAATACTGTTTACTGCACTTTAGGAAAGAAAATATTTTTCTTATGTAAAAAAGGGATTGAATTTTTTATTTATTACTAACCCTAATGTTGTAAAAAGAAGCTTACGTGGTTTAATGAAAAATCTGTGGAAGGTGCCAGTTTTTAAAATCTCTGATTAATTGATAAATTGTCAGAATCATTGATAGAACAATCAATAAGTAAAGTAATCGTTTAAAGAATTAGTCCTCAGTTCACAACTTCTTTAGCATATGAATGGAGCAACTCACCAGTGGCCCACATGCTGCTCAGGTTTTACTTCCACAAGATTGTTGTCCAACTATAACATGATTCAACTTTGAAACACAATGAGTTTTTCTGAACACTCAGAAGATAAAATAAACGTCTAATTTTGAAATAAAAAATTATAATCTGCTCCTCCATCACCTAAATAAAAAACATAATACAAATATGCAGTGAAAAGGGAGCAGTAAAGAGAAGCATTCTCCTGACATGGCAGATTATTTTAATGGACCAATCTTTAAAATGTCTTGAAAGGTTCATTTCCACTTTTGATCCAGAACATTTCTACCAGTTCCAATGTGGGATTGAAGGCAGTCCCTGAACCAGAGTGTGTTCTTCTCCACTGGACTGAGCCGCTTTTGTCTGGAGAAACCGATCTCCACCCCAGCAACAGAGGAGTCCAGAATGAGATGAAAAAACAGTCAAGTCAGATATTTAGAGAAATTCTTACCCATCTCTGAACTTGACAATTTATGTTGTAGATCTCAACTACTTTGCAGAAACGAGAAAAATCTAGAGGTCAACACGTGTTCCTGAAAAGGTTCCCACAGTGGAAACAACCTAAAATATACAGAACTATTTGCATAAGGAGAGACAAAATGGAAACAAATAGTGTGTTCTCTTTTTATTTTATTTGTTTACAAAAGTTAATTGTTACAATAATTTTGAGTTTCAAACTTATTATCACTCCAAGACCAAGGCAGAATCACTACAGCTCGTCATTTGGCTGACTGTCGTCTTCACAGTAATCTGCACAAAAAGAGGGAATAAGAAACACCTGTCAGTTTTCTGCCATAAACAGCGCAGCCAAAAATATAATTATAATTTGCCTTTTGGATAGAATCTGCCACAAGAGCTAAAGAGGTCTGCAGCTCCTCCTGAGGAGGCTCTCCTGGTTATTACTCAGGTTGATATTCCTTCTTGCATATTTGTCAGTTTAGGTTTGCAGCTACACCACATTAAACTATGCTACGTTACGTTATGGTACACTATGCTACATTACACTATACAGTGTTTGACAAGACAGGGTGGCCCCAGGCAAGAAACACTGACATTTTAATAATAATTTGCTGTCACAAAATCTCTGAACACCCTAATATTCTTGTAGTTTAACTTCACTTCACTAAAAGTACTCAAAATTCAAGCACAGATCTTCTTAAAATGTAAATCTGGTTGGTGGCCATAGCGATTAATGAAGTTCATAAAACAACTGCTAAAAGAGTTTAAATACAGAATGAGATTTTAGTCTAAATCAAAATTAAAATTCAGTAGTAAAAATAAAAAATCCTTCCAAAAGTAAATCTAGTTGTGGTTTACCAATACTCATGACGGACATGAATGTCATTAATTTAGAACAGAATGTAATAAAATATACTTTATTGGTCCCCAGGCAAAAGCTACTCCAGCCAATGTGTTAAATCCATCACTCTTCTTCCAGGTTCAGGTCATGGGGTCAGCAGGCTAAGAAGGGAGGCTCAAACGTCTTTCTTCCCTGCCACTTGTTCCAGTTCCTCCGAGAAAATTCCAATGCATTCCCAGACCAGCCGAGAAACATTGTTCCTCCAGCGTGTCCTTGGTCTTCCCCAGCGCCTCCTCCTGGTGGGAAGTGCCCAGAATGCCTCACCAGGCGTCGAGGAGGCATCCCGACCCTAAGAAGCCTCAGCCTCAACTGGCTCCTCTCGATGTGGAGGAGCAGCGGCTCTACTCTGAGTCCCTTCTGGAGGACCGAGCTTCTCATCCTATCGCTAAGGGAGAGCCCAGACACCCTATGGAGAAAACTCATTTTGGCCGCTTGTATCTGTGACCTCATTCTTTCGGTTATGACCCAAAACTCATGACCGAACACATGATCGACCGGTATATCGAGTTTCGCTTTTTGACTCAGCTCTCTCTTCACCACTGTAGACTGGTACAGCGCCTGCTTTACTGCAGACATTGTGCCAGTCCGTCTGTCAATCTCCTGCTTCAATTTTTTCCTCAATTGTGGAAAAAAAGTTAACTATTTGCATAAGGAGATGCAAATAGATACTTAAACTCCTCCACATGGGGCAGAACATCCCCCCAACCCGGAAAAGGGTAGAGTCTGAGGCCATGACCATGGCCTCAGATTTGGAGGCACTGATCTTCATCTTTGCCACTTCACACTCAGCTGCAAACCACTCCAGTGTAAAAAGTACTCTTTGTACTTTTAGAGGAACACACACAAATCCATGATTTCATTAAATAAAAGCCGAAAGAAAATATTGACACTCTTGGCGTTAGTTTGTCATAAAATTAAATCTGACAAAAAATTTACCATCTGCAATGCTGTTTCAAACATGTTCCACTTCACCTGAAGAGCAATAGAACAGTGGCAGGAATAAAGAACAGATGAACTACCTGAGACTCGATTGCATAACTTCTTCTGCACATCTCCCTCATCCCGGCCAAGCAAAGAGATGATGTCGTCTTCCAGCTCCTCCACCAGCGTCTCACACTGCCCAGAAAAACAGGCACAGTGGGCAGATATGTCTAAGTCTGGGGGAGACACTGGGCTGAGTTAGCTCAGCCATGCAAACACACAGTTTAACAGTCATGTTCCCTGTCTGTTTGCCAATCTGTTCAGCAATTTTAGCATTTGGTAAAGATGCTCTCTCTTCACCACAATAGACTGGTACAGTGCCTGCTTCACTGCAGACGTTGTGCCAGTCCGTCTGTCAATTTCCCGCTTCATTTTTTTCCTCAATTGTGAACAAGATCCCCAGATACTTAAACTCCTCCACTTGGGGCAGGACATCCCCCCAACCCGGAAAAGGGTAGATTCTGAGGCCATGGTCTTGAGCCGACCATGTGAACACAGTACTGGATCTGGCTCAACGTTTTTTCTAGGTTACAACAGAATCCTTTAGGCTAACCGAAACAGACGGTTGCCATGGTAAATAAAGGCATGATGACCTCATTTTCTCAGTTTTTCTTTGTTTCATGCCAACTTTACTAAAAATAATTACATTTACAAATGTTAAAAACTCCAATCCTAATAATCTTTGCACCATTACGTTAATGCCTCACCTCCAAAAACATGTGCATGTTATCCAATGGGAGAGGAGACTGTTGAGCTCATTGAAATGATTTATTTTAAAAACTGATGCTGTCAAAATGCTCCGTTCTCCAAAGATGCAACTTTTATGGAGATTAAAAATAACAATATGCCTTTGGATACTTTTAACTGGAAATATATAATTAAAACTACAAAGATATGAAACATGAACAAATGTTGGAAAAGTGGTCTGTCGGATTATTTTTTTTCTCTCTTTAAGAAGCCAAAATATTGCTAATGGCACCAAATAGAAGATTGTGTGCCAATCCCAGTATTCAACTTTCAAGTGAACTATTACTGAGAGATGTCAAAAGAAAATACATAGCTAAATTAAAAAGTAGAAATCCCACTGGTTTTTAAAAACATTAAGAGCAGCTTCTTACTAAAAATGAAGAAATATTTAGACAACAGTATGGGACTGTAGGAGACAGTACAGTCTGTCCCCTATCTTAAATTTATGTAAATTTACAGCAAATTTGACTGCAAACATCAATCAAAATGGTCTAGACAAAAGTACAGAAGGTAATTTTCTACTATTAAGCATCAGCTTAAAACTTAGTAGAGCTTCTAAAGAACCATCAACACCTTCAAGTTTAATTGGGACATGTTGCAGCTGTTTAAATATTTTACTCAACACATGAAACAGAATCTGCTCAGCAGTGAGTCCATTCTATGCAAATAGAACAATCATCTATGTCACAACTATTATGTGTCCAACAGTTCAGTAATGCTGTTGTGAACTTACAGCAAATTTCAGATTATTGGATGCCTCAGGACCATCAAACTTGAAGTTTTTGAAGTCTGGGAAGTCTTCTGAAGATCCACTGACTCTTGGAGCAAATCTCCTGTACTGCTTGTGGTGGGTGTCCGGGTCAATGTAGAGGGCATAGTCACTCATGCTGTTGCATACCCCGTCCAAGAGCTCACTGAGGTGTGATTCCGAGCGAGCAAACGGAACCTAGCAACAAAAATAAACAAATAATAAAAATGGAGAATTACACTGAGAGTTCAGGAGCTGACTGGCATCAGGATGCAGTGTTGCAGCCAGGCCTCACCTTGTTCAGTAAGATTTACATTCCTATTAGGTAAATGATGTGCAAACTATCTGCTATCTGCAGGGTTTCATTCTTTTTAAACAAATTTGAACAATAAACTGAACTTAATGCACTTTTTGATACTTAGGATAAATTTGAATGTATGTTACTGAACTGAAATTACTTTTTTTTAAATTACCATGAAATAACATGTGAATTGGTGCTATATAAACTCAATCAATTTTACAGTGCAATAACCACACTCAACCTACAAATATTTTCATTAAAAAAACACAAAACTATTTCCCTTCCTTTTAGCTCCAGTGGCTTTTCTTTAACAATAAATGGACTGAGAAGAGGAAGATATGCAGACAAAACCCCAAAACCAGGAAACAAACCCAGGACAACTGCATCCAAGACTGATTTTGTTTGAATTTTTTTGTATATTCTTCTTTTACACTATGTTCAATAAAGTCAAAATAAAAAGTAAAATCAAAATCAACTCAACGCAGCACCCCAGAGTCTGAGATTTTTACTGGTTCCAGATCTTATTTAAATGTATGAAAGATATGACCCAAATTGAAAATATAGTGGGGGGAAAAATAACTTTAACATGGTGTTTGGATGGACTCAAGGACTCAAGCTACATTACAAAGTGTTGGCTTATGTTGAAGAACAAAAGCAGCCATATTGACGGTTGTTGTTAGGGTCTGAGCTGACCCAGAGTCAGCAGTGTGACACCACAGGGCTCTGGTAGGGTCATCGGTGTGACCTTTTGCTTCCGCTCTGTTTTATTAGTTGCATGGTAACAAACGTCACCAGGCAACTGACTTTTAACCTGCCTTCCCACCTCTCCACCACCTTCCCCTTCCTCTGCTGCTCTCTCTGAACAAAAAGGCAAGACAGTGGTGTCTAGACAGGTCAATATAGGTGAGGTGGCCCAAACTAAGCATCCCCAGAAGTATACAGGGTGAAAGGGTGATGCCCAGAAGGTGAGGGGGCAAGAAGGAGGCATAGAAAATGGAGAGGAAGAGGGGGTGGGTCAGTGCTCTTTACACCTCCAATCAGGTTTAAAAAAACTGGTTGGGGGAGAAGATGGAGGCAGGAGAGCTCACTAGTAGCCAAGTGCAGAGTAAAATGCTCATCTCCTTAACCTCCTGGTGTCTTCTCACCCCCTTTCCAACCTCTGGTGATAAAAGGAGGAAGGTTGTGGAGGTGGGAGTGAAGAAGAGTGAAGTGGAGGGGGGCATTGAATAATTAAATAGCTGGATCACCTACTCTGTTAGAAGTCAATTTCTCCAGAGTCCAGCTGATGGCCTCATTATTTGACTCAGGTGTGTTGAAGCAGAGGCCTGAAGTTGAAGACCCCTGATTTAGACCATAAACACTGATGTCTTCCATCTATCACTGGCTTTCATCTGACTCCAGATAACGCCATCTAATCATTCAGAAATAAGTGACTGCGAAGCTCAGCAGAGAGACGGGACTGAAGGAAGTCCAGCTCAGGTCTAAAGATGAAACAGGCTGCAAAGCAGGAGCAGTCTACCAGGAATGCTAAGTTGTTTCTCTAGCATTACTACTTTTAGCAGTAAATATATTTTTTTGACAGAGATAAGCCCCTCCTCCTGGCTCTGATTGGCTGTTTTTGATCAGTCCTGGTACATTTCTTCAGATGGCAATAGTAGCACTGGGAGGAAGTGGAGAAGCTCAATCTTTCACATCTATCAAATGACATAGTGACAGTTTGAATAAATATGTACAAAACACATTTTTGTAAAAGATGCGTATTGTAACTTTAAACGTCCCCTTAAACTGCAGAGTAACACTGTTGTCCTCATGCCCACCAGATGTGAGTGTGATTTTAGTTGTTTTAAGAAGAAATAAACCTGCTGGGTTTCAAATGTCTTTTTTTTACTACATTGTACAGAAAATTGCAAAAGATGCATCTTTGTTTTTTGTTCATATAGGCTACCTGGACCACTTAGTATTATTTAAATCTATATTAAATATGGCTCATGTGGATGAGACATATTTACAAATTATGTAAAAGAAAACAAAAAGAAATCTGTAGGGTCTCTTTTCTATCTGTAGGGTCTCTTTATATCTGTGTTGCTATTGTATGTTTAAGATGGTGTACTCATCCCTTGACAGCAGGAATATAAAACAATTAGCATGCATCTTCTTTGATCACAACCTGACTTTTAGGAGCTAGTTAATTTTTTTAAAGCAGTTCAACATTATCATGTTTTAAAACATAGTCCTTGATCAAATTTCACCTTGTTGAATGTGAAATGTTTTACTTTCATATTCCTGCTTACACATTATATTATTAATGTAACATAATAGGCAACACAGTTGCTGTCCAATAAAACAGCTTTACATCTCTTCTTATCATTTAGCACAGATAAACATTCAGTTATTTTAGTTATTTTTTTCTGCCATGGCACATGACATTTCTTATTACACATTTGGTGTTTGAAATGTCAATAATTCCACAAGCTCATTCAAGCTAAGTGACACAAAGACAAAAAAAGGACCCTTCTTCTTACACTGGACTATAGAAGCACGTATGTCCATCTCAACCCGTGGGCTTAGGTCTCAGTCATTATCAAGCCATGTTACAAAATGGATTGGAATTAAAGCCCTTCCTCAACAGCCAGAGCCCAGTGAAAGGGAGCTATCAGTCACATCATGGTTTGAAGAATGGGCAGGGTGTGACCGGTTTGGCCAGAGAATAGGCTTCTCAGGGATGCTATCCTCCATTCAATTCCCATTGGACAGGGAACCATTACTGAGCCACTGTGGGCAGGAACCTTTCAGTTTCATTGTCCTTACTGCTCTTATGGGCCTATGAAGACCCATAAATTAATAATAATAATAATAATAAAGTCATGAAAGCTAGTCTGGAGGTGAAGAATAAAAATGTATGACCAAAAGCATATTCAAATTAAACACTCAAGTTATCTTTTGTCAAAAATAAAATTTGTGATCTTAAGGTGCAACAAAAAAAGCAAGAATAGAAGAAATCTTTAAGGGGGCAAAGACTTTCACAGCACTATGAATTTTAGAAGAGCATTAAATTGTGGCCTTGTGAATCGCAGTGATAGCAGTCAGAGAGGGTGAGAAACAGATGAGCATCTGGTTTTGATTAGACTGGTGGAAAATTAATTAATAAAATCTTGGCAATGGTTATACAAAGTGGCCTGCAAAATTATTCATACCTCTTGAATTTGTTCATATTTTGTCACATTACAACCACAAACATTAATATATTTATTTGGAATTTTATGTGCGAGACCAACAAAAAGTGGTTACAATTGAAAAGTACAAGAAAATAAACTTGACTCAAAACATCTTTTTACATATAAAAAACTTTAAAGTGCGGTGTGCAAAAGTGTTCACCCCCCTTTTCTCTGAGTGCAACCAACCAGTTTCCTTCAGAAGTTTCCTGATGTCTGCTAATGACTCAACCTGTGTGTAATCTAATCTCAGTAGAAATCCAGCTGCTCTGTGACGCCTCAGAGGTTCAGAGAATATTGGGGAGCAAATGGCATCACAAAGTCCAAGGAACACAGGGCAGGTCAGGGAGAAAGCTGTGGAGAAGTTTATAGCAGACTTGGGTTGCAGAAAGATTTCCGAGGTTGAACAAGAAGAGCTCTGATCAGAGATGTAGCTAAGAGGCCTATGGTGACTCTGGACCAAATTCAGAGATCCACAGCTCAGAGGAGGAATCTGTCCACAGGACAACTATTAGTCATCCATGATTTCCAACATCACAGTCGGATTATGACACTCTTATTTACATCTGGTCAAAATTTGGAAAACTTAGCAAGAAAGCTGATTGGACAGCTGGTCATTTCAAAATGGCTATTTTGGTTAAAAAAAAAAAAAGTTACATTATTAGTCTGTGCATAAATAGCAACACTGCATGTCAAATTCCAACTCCTGCGCCCTAATATTATGTGTCACTGCCTCAGCCTGCCATTGTGCATTTTCTCATTCTCAATGCATGACTTCCCACAAGTAACTATGAGATCAACTCACTGCTCCATCTAAGTTCAATGTCTTTGGATGCCTTAAATGTGCCATTGTTACGGAAGGCAGGTTTTACTTTTGTGCCACAGAGCGGCTCCATGCCCCCAGGAAGTCCTACTGTGAGGAGGCCAAAGAGCAGACTTAAAACCTGAAAATCCTCCACACTGAAGGCATCTACACTGTGACATCCCATCCTCTCCAATTCACTCTAGGTCAAAAGCTGCTGAAAAGAAGGGAGAGCAAAGGGCATGGGATCAAGGTTTGACTGTTTCTGTGGCTAAGAGACATTTGAAAGGCCAAACAATGCAACAGGTGGAGGGTAATGCCATCTCTGAGCTGAGGAGGAGCTCATCTTTGACATCATCGGCTGAAGGCTGAGGAAAAACTTAGCCCTAATCAAGTTCTTGCAAACTGCTAAAGGAGTTATCAGAGACTCCGATAACCTTTCTGAAAAATTTGGTATAAACTATTGCTATAGAATAGTAAGGCTTCACCAAAACATGATAAATGTTTACTCTTGTCAATGTTCAAACAGTAAAAGGGAGAAATCTGAAATAGTAAATCTATTGTCTAAGTTTTCACCGTCTCTTCAAAGTGACCAAATCTGCAGTCTGTGGATAAGATATGACAAAATATGATAACATAAGACTTTATTTGGCCCCTAAGGGGGTGGAGAGGTTGTTTGTCCCAGCATAGTACACAAAAATTAATGTAAATAAATAAAGCAATAAGAATAAACATACAACAATAATAAATGACAATAAGTCTTAAGAACACACACATATCGCTCAGTACATTACTAAATATATATTCAACATTTAATACGCACAGCTCTATGTATCATAAAGTCTGATAGCTTCTGGCAGAAAGAACTTGCTGTATCATTCTTTAGCACATCTGGGCCTTTGGCTATGGCTATGTCTGCTCCTTAGGCTGTCCACCATGCTGTAGAGGAGATGAGATAATTGATAATTCTTCAGCATTCTGTCACTTGACACCTCTTCCAGTGGAACCAGCTTGATCCCTACAACTGACTCAACCCTTCTTGTCAGTTGTTGAGTCATTTTGAGTTCACCTCCATTGCAACACCTCAACACAGCACTGCATTGAAGATGGAACCAGCCACTGATCCCCCACTGATGACTGGTGACTGATGAACAGCATCTCACTGCAAATGTTAAAATACCTTAGATTCATGAGATGAGAGACGGGTCACTGTTTGAGAGCAACAGTTGTAAAAGTAGTTTAAGACTAAAAATAAATCCAAAAATATTTTAGAAATACCTATTTCACCAAGAGCATACAGCAACTAGGATCTTAGGATCTTAGATTTAAATGGGATAACAATCCAAAGTTGAAGGGGAAAGACACAAAAATGTTTTGTCCTATGGCTAGGCTAAATAGCAGTGAGTCAACCCTGTGGTTGACTCACTACTATTTGAGTCAAATTTATGGTGAGCATAAAGTTTAAATGATCACAAAATGCTTTCACTAACCGCTCTTTTTTATCATCTTTGCAGTACAGAACTTTTTCTAATCTCTCCATGTTGGGTTACATTAATTTCTCTCTCTAAAAAGATACTATGTTCATTCCACAAAGTTTGTGGAATGAACATAGTGTCAGCAGCGTGTCATATTTTCTGTGTCTAGGTCAAATGAAGGAAAATATTTAACTGCAACTACTACATAATTTCTAGATATATTTTAACATTCTTTCCTTTTGCAACATGGAAATTGTGGATTATGGCTTGAAGTGACCTTTTCAACTCAGGGTTTCCCCCGGAAAACTTGAGGTCCACCTGCGAGCCACTGTGATTTTGTATTAAAAGATGTTAAGTCGACAAGAGAAGTAAAAATATTACTGGGTATTTATTTATATGTTACAGGAAAACAGCACCAGTGAAACACTATTTAAACCCACAACTAGTCTTAAAAACAAACCAATTAAAAAATTAAAATGAACATTGAACTTCTTTTTAATCCAAAGTAAGCCAGCAGCTCCATAAGGCCCCCCAGGGATGCAGGGGCCCATAAATGGCAATATTTTAACACAGACCATACATAAATGTAACATTTGCTTGAGATTGTCAATGTTCCTAAATTTGATTTAATGGTTTCGGCATAAATAAATTATAATATTTTAAATTATTTAACATTTAAAAGTAAGATTTTAAGGAGCTGGCAAGTTTACTTTAAAAAGTTCAGAGAACAATATTCAGAGTTAAACTGTTTTGTTACCGTGAGAACTCTGGAAAGAAACAAAATTCCTCGCAGGGGGTTGATGTAAATATCCATCCAGATCAGCCTGATTCCAGTTTGAGTGAGAGGAGGTGCGCATGATCCGCACTGAGGTAAACTTAAGACTTCCAGCTGCTGAAGCGTGCGAGGCAATGTGCAGAGGGCCCAGTGGTGTGATTAGTGCATAAACTACAGAAGATGTGGTCACATAACAGTCATTATTCCCAGGACCCTCTTGAAAATGAGATCCAGATCTCAATGGGGTTTACCTGGTTAAATAAAGAAACTAAAAATGCCATTCGATGAAAATGGAATATCTTGTAATTTAAAAGGAACAGTTTGGATTGTTGGAACTATTTTTCCCAAGGTTTTGGAGCACCAACTGCTAACATATGTAAAGATGTGAAATTCCATTTTTAATTTATGTACAACAACGTTAGCTCTTTAGTGAAGGTTTTTCAAAAAGTTTTGAAATGCATTCATGACATTTTTTAACCAGTGCATTTATGAGGTTCAAACACTGATGTTGAGCAAGATGGACTGACTTGCAGTCTCTGCTCTAAATGATTAGATGAAGTGCTACGAAGGCCAATGTATCTGCTTATATATATTATTATTTTCCTCTTGAAATCACAAATTTGGCAGTCTAAATATATTTAAAAACTCAAACTTTGATGAAAACCGTTTCCCGGGCAAAACAATTGTAATAGAATCGTAAGTGGGTGTGAGATAGGACAAGCAACCATATGTCATAGAGAAATGAAACTTAATATGTAGGTAAGACACCCCCGAACAACAACAAAAAAAAGTATTTTGGAGGTATGCCACAAAATGTACATGGAGGCAGCCATTTTGGGACAAAAGGCTAATTTTGGCCATTTTTGACATTCACACACCTCAAGCTTTAAAAAACTAGGGATTTTGAGGTATTGTGTTCATTTTTGGTCAGTATGCAGTTAAGGGACGCAACACTGAAAGTTCTCAAAATTGTGACTTTTGAGCATTTTGTAGCAAACTTGGTGTACTTGTCAAAGCAAACAAAAGGCTACAACTTTCACACACAATGACCAAGCAGCACCAAACTTGGTTTCAGATAAGTCGCCATATTCTGATAACCCCGCCTCCGCAGAAGAGGCAGTCGCTTTTTTTTTCTTGGAAAGTGTCGTGGGAAAAAACTATTTCCAAGCACTGTTCAGGTAAAATTACTCAATAAGGTTTATTCATGAATTGTGCATAACTCAGAGAGCTCATGAGACAATCAAAAATCAAGCCAGTCTGGATCCAAAGGTCACAAAGCTCAAAGTTCTGCCAGCCAGAGACAACACATAAGTTTTATACAATAATAAGAAATGAAAAACAAAAATGAAAAACATGGGGCGAGACCATCTGATTCTGATCCAGATGTGGAAAACAAACTGCCATCCTCATACATGTAACCCAAATAGTTCTTTTGGTGAGAGTTTACAAACATTTCATATTACATGACCAGAAGATGTGACCTTATTGTAATCTTTTCCATTACAGAAAGCTCAATCTCTGGCCTCTTGGGCTAATCAAGATGGTCTTTTGTCAGAGGACAGAAAACTAGTTAAATTGATTTGCTTTGAAGCACAAAGAGTTTTTTTGGTGGTCGTTGCAATAGCAATGTGGCAAAGTCAGAGGTCACGCCATTGCCATTCGTTTAGATCGAAATTCCACATATTTCAGCCAAGCTTCCTACAGGAAGTCTGCCATTTTGGATCAAAGCCGCCATTTGGTCTCTGTTATTAGTTAGCCTTCGAGATGCAGGCTTCACAATCACTCGGCACTGATTTGAAGTATTGATCAAAAGTTATCAGAATTGTTTTTCTACATCAAAGCATGCAAGCATTTTTTTGTTAGAAATCATTTTAAATTCCACCTTTCTTTCTCTAGACAGCTTTATGTTAGCAGCCCTGATCTCCAAGACCTTGGGGTTTGTAACACATGGACTGAAAGCAGATATTTCTGGACATGTCTGCAAAAAACGTAAATTTTTATGACTGTGGTGTGATGACACACTGTCTTTCACAGCAAACTGCTTGACACTTAACTGTGTTCACATCAATCTATTTTTATGCAACAGTCAGCTCAATCAGTTGTTAGGACGCATAGTGTGATTACCACACTGGTTGCCCAGGTAGAGAAGAAACGGGGCGACGCACCCAACTAGCACATCAAAACTTGTCTTGGTACATTTTTCAATCATGTCACCCAGCCTTAATTAAAATAATATATAACTCTTTTTAAAAGGTATAACTAGCCAAGAATTAAAACATCTTCTTGAGTTCTCAACCACCCAAATAAAATGTACTTTCAGATGTACTTTGCCTTTTTGAAATTCTGTGTATAAATGGTAGTATTGATCTCAATACATTAGGATCCTAAACACTGCCACGTTTAGAAGCTCTCAAGAACATAAATTGCAAGATAAAATATAATTTTAGCCTCATGTCCAGTCATAATCAGGACCTTCAGCAAAGCCTGGAGAGCAATAAAATGTGTATGAAAAGTCAGATTCCTGTTACAACAAAGAGATTTAAATAAGTTCAACAAACGCTCTACCTTTTTGTCTGTCATGGTCCCATCAGGATTGAGTCTAAAGCTCCCTACATTAATGGTCGTCTTTGGGTCCACCTGACTGATTGAATAGGTCAGCTCATCCACAATCGCCTTACAAGCTGGGGAAAAAAAAACAGGAAGACAAAATTACAGTTTTAACTAATGGTAATTAACATTAAAAAAGAATCTCTCTTATTCGGATCAATATTTTGTTTTAAATTTCTACAAATATTTTTTGCTGAGCTAAGTCATGATTTTTTTATTAATTATAAAAGACTGCTGGTGAAAGAATCTGCTATTTAATCCAGGTGTTCTGTCTTTAATCTAAAGTTTTAAAGACAGAAACTAGGGTTTCTCAGTTTTTCTGTGTTTTATATGGCTAAAGATATGTAGAATGTTTGTCTTTTTATATATCATGCTTTTACCCTTTTGAGGACATAAGGCAAATAGGAACTTGCTTTGCTCTTTGAGGGTGTTCTTTTCTTTGCTCTGTTGAGAATAACACCTGGAAACAGGGCTGCCCAGATGTAGTCCTTGCCCAGATGCAAGGTTTAGATGCTAGAAAGGCATCTAAATGTACCTTTCTGGGACTTTTAGATGCATCACAATGCACATCAATCAAAGAAAGCAATTCTCTCACCAGCAGTCATTCAGCTCATTTGTTGCAGAGGCATGCCTCAGACATTCAGTTAATTCAGGTGCATTGGGGTTAGGGATCCATCTACACATGGCAGGATGGTCCCCATCGAGGACTGGACTTGGGCAGCCTTGATCTTAAAGTTACAGGAAGGAAAAAAGCTTTTTAAGACAGGGGATCACTGCTGTAGAAGATCTGCATACAACAATGATGCAGTGACCTGCAATGGAGTCCAGGCCTCCAGTGCAGGTATCCTGCATCTTTTAGACGTGTCCTTGGCCCAAAACACCCAAGTCAAGTGGCTGAATCACCACATCAGTATTAGCCCTGCTAATATACTGATTATTTGACTGAGATGTATTATATCAGAGACGCATCTAAATTTGCAGTACACCAGTCCCCAAGGTATGGAGTTGCAGACCCCTGACCAACATCTTTCTACAAACACCAAAACATCTAAACTTCCCCAAGAAGTTCAGCCTGCTTTGTCACATTTTGTAGACAGCTTCACTGTTGGATCTCCAGTTTGATATGTTGTCCAAGTGAACACTTAACTATTAACAAGGATTATTAAAGTTTGCGGTACGGTGGTTGGACTACAACAGCTTTTGTGGAGTCGGAATCACATTGTCAAGGTTCTGGAGTGTACTGTGGCTTTATTCCTGTTCCCTGAGGAACAGGAACAATGACCTCTGACCTCTGGAGACAGAAAAGAGGAGCACCATTTTGTTAAATAATGCAATAAAGCCGAAGGAGTATCCGTGACAAAGGTAAATGAAATATTTCAGGTCTGACAGAAAAGGCTGGGATGGTAGGAGATCTGTTTAGGGATCTGGGACAGGAAAGGAGAGCACAGAGTTTGTTTCAAAACTTGACCTGTAAAAGAGTTCAGTTCATTGATTATTGATCTGGTCACACTTCGGCTTGAAATTTGGCATAGCTACTATGAAAAAGGAACTTTAATCGAATTCAAAAAGGAACTTTAATCGGATTACTGATTACTCCTTGAAAATGTAACTGAGTAGCTGATTTGGAAAGTAACTAATTTACATTAAAAGTAACATTTTTAGTTTCTTTTAGCAGCTGCTAACAACAACACTCAGCCACCAGTAAAAATTACATTGGTTTTTGCCAATACTTTGATCTTTTCAAGTTATTTTACAACAGTACAAAAAAAACTTTAGCAATTTGTGTGTTTTTGTGTGTTCTATTGTCTGGAATAATTTTTCTTAACAGCCGTTCTTGTCTTCTGCTGAACATCGTCATCATCATCATCAAGTGCGGCAAGCAGGAATGAAACCATTTCGTGCAGATCCAAAGGGCTTCATGGGCAATATGTATGTGTTTTATGGTCTGGCAATGGTAACATTAAATTTTTACTGCTAAAAATAATTTTCGAAAATACAATATGATTAATTTTGTAACTGACAGGGCACCGTTTTTTTATTTTTATTTCTACAAACAAAAAATAAACAAACTGTGGACAGCCCCCTGTCAGTCAGAGGCCCTTAGAATTGTCATAACTTTTCCCTTACTATGGTGCCCCTGGACATCACTAATGACCACACATCTCTTTCAATCTTGTGCTGGAGCATAATATCCAGCTTCTTCTTGGAGGCTTAATTTACTACAGGAGGCTGTTGTACACTCCTCAATAATTCATTGAATAATCAACCTTCCCTTAATGCTGTTTAAAACATTTTTCTTCAGATTACTGGCAATCCAGAGTTTGTTTCTTGGAAAATAAAGTATAAAATAATATAGTGTTGGAAATTGTGTTGTTTCCACAAAACTTTAAATAGTCAGTCACACACACTCAGTCATAACCTCTTACCTCTTTGATACCAATATCTGATGCAGGTTTTAATTGCCAACATGTTAAATCTCACAGAAAGTAGTGGGGGGGGGCATCGCGTTGTTGCGTCTTACCAGAACAGTAGAGGACTTTGTCCCTCTTGCTTTGGCTGCAGCTGATGAAGGTAGACAGCACCATCACATACATATGAAATATCCACGATGCCATAGTGATGGCCTGGCAATACAAAACATGATTAGAGAAAAGGATGTGTGTAGGGCCTGCAGCTTGGATTGTGGAGATGCTGGTCTTAGTTTCTGACCATTGAATTAGTAAAGCAGAGGTAACAGTTGAATCAGACACTGCAGGAAACTGATCAGAGGAAAGAAAGAAATAGCAAAAAATGAATAAATAAACAGAAGATTAATACAAACAGTGGAAACAGCCTTAGCACATCCAAGCGAACATCAATCTTCCTTATCTCCACTCTTGAGGGTTCACCCATTCAGCATCAAGGAAAATGAGTAGTCCAGCAGATGGTCTATCAAGTAAAATTGATTTCAGCTTTTCAAGATGTATTTTCTTTCCAACATTATAGATATGCTCAGAAGAAAATTCAACAAATAAAGTGCTTTGTAATATGTCAGTGCATTGAGGCCATCTGTGCACTATTATTTTCATCAATGTTTTCTTTTTTGTATATTGCATAAATAATAGTTTAAAATCATAAACCATAATTCTTAAAGAATTCATTATACTGAATTCCATTGCTTGTCTTGGAATGTGGCTTATTAAAAACATGAGATTTGAGAGTGAGGAGAGGTAGTGTCCCAGCAGATTGATTCAGTGTCAGGTCTGTTCTTTTTCCCACAAAAGCTATCATGACATCATATTATTGTTTAATTACTCTGCCGTGATATACAAGTATCAAAAACTCACAAAACACATCTGTCTGACAAGTCCTTGCTATAATTGCACTAAAACTGTAAAATGTTACATTGTATCTCAATTAAACCATGATGCCTATTTTCCTCCAAAAGCAATGAGGTCTGTGCGTAAGGACAATGCATCTTTACGTACTCAGTGCGTAAAGATGCATTGAGTCTACCTCTCTGTACAGTTTTAAGACATCATCCTGGTTCTGTGGAGAAGCAAATAAACTAGAGCTGTGCCGATCGATCGGCCACCGATCATAATCGGCCTATTTCCGGGAAATAGGCCGAAAAGTGTATAATCCGTGAAAGTGTATAATCGTGGTCGCTTGTTGCCGATCACATTTATCTCTCTTCGCAACCTGCGTGTGCAACTGATCTCCGCTTTCCTTCACACTGCGCAAGAGCGCAACAACAAATTCTAATTGTAGAACTTTAGTTCCTCACGCTCTGAGACTGAATGGGGACGTTTCCATGTTGCTGCGGAAAATTACTACGTCAAAATGCATCAACACAATGAAGGAGTTTGGCTATATAAAGGCTAAATGTAGGAACAAAAGTACATCCGGGGCAGCCAGATAGCAGGTAAAGCCAAGTACACCCCACTGCAGCAAACAGAGCGGGGACAGACCACTGTCAGTCAGACCTTATTTGGAAATGGGAACGTTGCACTCCCGAAGTGAAGGGGGCACTATTTCCTATATTATCCGCAACCTCCCGTTTTTTGTTTTTTTTTCTTTTGAAATCTGTGAAATATCTTCATCTTTAAGAAGGCGTTTCACTCTCAGCATGTATTTGAACTTCTTCTAATAAAGATAGATCATCTCTGAAAATAATCAATTTCCTTTGCCTCCTCTTGTTCTGCAGAATTACTCTGCTCGCCCGAGCCAACCAATCAGAACTAGCATTAATCAGCCGCTTTCAGAAAGTTGATTTAGTAACTCAGGATTGTTTGTTTTGATGCAACCCGTTTGACTTTTCAAGAATGTTTCCTTTATTACTTGACATTATTTGATATAGTTGCTTGATGATAAGTCTTGAAGATTTATTTAACTACTACCACCAATAATTGATGGTACTGAGAGCCTTACTGTTAAATATTGTTTTACTGACTGCAGATTTTTCTGTTGTCTTTTTGACTGAATAGCTGCTGTATTTTAAATTCACCTAATAAATTTGGTGAATTTATTGCCAGATCATTTTTAAATTTCGCCAGATCATTTAGTATCATTTATACCTAAAGCTAAAAATCGCTAAAAATCCAGGCGATTGGCAAAGATCCAGGCGATTTTTAGCCATTTCAATAATTGTATAATTTCCTCGAAGAAGGAAATAGGTTATGTTCAACATAACAATGAAATCAACAAATCATATTCAATTGTCAGTTTGTTCAGTGGTCCCCAACCCTGGTCCTCAAGGACTGCTATCCTGCATGTTTTTGATGAGTCCAGTCTCCAGCACAGCTGGTTCATATGATTGCGCTACCTCCTTTGCATTCCTGCAATTGCTATAGAAGCTGGTTAATCACCTAGTCATTTAACCCAGGTGTGCAGCAGAAGGGATACACTTAAAACATGCAGGGCAGTGGGCCCTGGGGACCAGGTTTGGGGACCACTGAGTTAGTTTATTAGTTTATTTAGTTATTCATGTAATGAAGAACATGAAGGGAAAATAAAAGCAAAACAATGCTAATGACAGCAATATTTAACTACAGAGTATATTGTTAATATACTTGCCTCCCCACCAGGCTTAGCATTGTTTGCTTAAAATGTTTTTTATACACCTCCAACAATGAAAGCAAAGACTGGTTAAACAAGGTTTTTATAAGATAAAACATAATTAAACAGGAAGTTATCTATTTATTTATTTATTTGGCATTTGATTTATACACATGACCTACAGAAAGACTAGTTTTATTTAGTCCACTTTTGTATTTTCTTTGTTTTCATTTTATTTCTAAAGTTTCCAGTCAACTTCACATTTTTGTAACACAAAAACACAGTGTGGCAACAGGTGAACAGACAAAAACCCTAAATATACCTCATAGATTTTGGCTAGAAGAAGATTATGTTCACATTTCTAGCTAATAATTTTATTTCATTATCGAGGAGCATTTCAAAGTGTGGAAATGTGTGAACTGGTCAAATGTTAGTCTAATGTTCATTTTTAACAAAACAATTAATAATAAAACTACTTAAAATTACTCATATCATTCAGTTTATAATGCCAAGACCTTTAATAATAAAAAGTCAATTAAATTACGTTATTTTTTAAGATTCAGTGTGCATCACTTATCATCCAGCAAGGTCAGAAATGCACCAGATGGGTATAATTTGCATACAATTTAAAGTGGTAGAATTGTGAATATTCCAGGCACATAGTAAAACTTTATAGCACAAACAAGTAATTACATTATTCTTACAAAAATGCTGTATATTAAACATGACTTAAAAGAAATTTAACTTTGCAATTTAACGCCTTGAAATCACACTCTGTCTCTTTAAGAAGCTTTTACTCTTTCCAACACGCACCTTCAGTACACAACATTCCTCTTTCAAGGTTTTAACAAGTTTGTTCCAGAATTTCACTGAGTAGTTTGTATAATGAGCTCAGCAGATGCTCAGTTCCACCAGGTATTTGCTAATTGCTGCTAATAGACTGAAGGAGCTGAGTGTGCTGATTTATCTTTCACCTAATACCTTGGTGGCCGTTTTTATAACGTGACTGGTATAAACATAATAGTGTTTATGTGGAAAGGCATGAACCTAAACAACAACCAACATCTGCAGATCTGATGAATATGCAAGATCACAGACTATTAATTAAATTATATGGAGTAAAATTTTATTCATGAAGAAAAGGACGTTTTGACATTATTTATCTCAAATTTTTGTCCTTGGGAAAAACAATAGATTCCTCAGTTTAGGAAGTAAACTCCTCCCGCTCCGCTTCGTCATGCTTTTCCCCAGGTTATCCCCCGGCTGATTGTAAGGAAGGCGCATCGGACTTCATCTTTTTATTATTTCCGCAATGTAGTAGTTTTGTTGTCATTGTTTTGTTTTTTGTTTTGTTTGTTTATTTTTTGGTAAATAAACACTAAGTTATTCTTACACGTTCATTCTGTAAATTTCTTTATTTTGAGACTGGTACAGGTTTTAAGCTGGGAACTTTAGCTGAAGTGAACTAAAAATGAGATGCCTTGTGGTTAAATCTCGTTGCTTCAAAAGAGTAGTATAAGCCGAACTCTAGGCCGCTTTAATTCAAACTATAAAATATTGCATGACAGGTGGATGAAGCGTTGCTGATACAGAATATCCATCTAAATGTCTTGGTTTCTTTGCGGAGCTCGGCGCAATATTCGAAATGGCTGCTCTTACCTGACCAGAGAACCAACCAGCAGCTTCCAGCGGATGGGCTGTAACTCCGACTCACAGCACAAACGGTCCCGGTTTCAGTTTCTACTGTCAGCCCTCCTGTATATGTTTCTATCAACTTAAGTTACACGTTAGGCTCTGGAGAACTCCCACTAGCATAAAGCGTTCACTGTTCTGGTGATGTATTTCAAAGTAAAGTTTCTCTATCCTAACTGACCTCTTTCAGGCATGACAATACATATTCTTCATGCATACACATTACAGCAACGTTAGTTACTTGAGAAGGTTTCTATTACAGTGCTCCCATGAGTGGTATTTTTAGTTTAAATCCGAGGTGAGCTCTTATTTTGAAATCACTTCCGTTCTTATTTTACCGTGTTTATTCTAAATTGACTTCTGACATTGACGTACGTGCCACACTGTAGAGAAGCCACGTTCAGCCGAGCATCCAATCATATTTCAGAGTTTGATCATTCACTAGTATGTTTGGATTTACTTAAATGAGACGTTAGTTTATTTTCATCATTCATTTACTTCAGGATCTGTTTATCTATTTCCCCATAAACAGGAACAGTACCAAAGCTTTCAATATCTTTAGTGCTATTTCCTTTGCAGATCATTTTGTTCATAATATTTGGTGCTTTGCTACTTACATTTTTTTCTACAGGGCTTTATTTTGGAAAGTGTTGAATTTCCATACCCTGACTTAAAAAAAAAAAAACAATCTAAGTTTTATATGGATGAGCAGTAACAAGTAGTAGATTTTGTCATTTCATACTCATGGTGACATTTCCATTATTAACATTCAACACCAGACTTGTGCATGGCCAGTTTATGGCTAACAGATCTTATATTGGCCTCAAAGGTCAAACCAAATCTGCCTTGCAGTGGCGGTTTCTGATATGGGCAACCGCCCAGGGCAACATCTTGTGAGAGACGGCATGAATTCCCAACTCGCCCCCAGAGCGCCTCACCCTCACCGCCGGAGTCAAATCCCCCAACCTCTCTCACAACTGGAAGATTTGAATGTCAAAAGATCCTAATACATCATTACACCAACACACACTCCACTCCCCCAGCACACAACTTTGGTCCCAGCCTGAATTTGTGCAGCTTTCACACTAGAAGTTGGCAAGACACATTTTGAAAAGTGCAGTGTACAAAAATGTTCAGGTGTATAATATTGTGCATACTCATGCTGCTGCATACTTTTCCTTTGCACATTCCAATTTGGGTGAACTAGAACGCAGCTACTGGCATCATGTGAATCGCCTTGTCATCTCCCAAAAATATAAATCAGCATGAAAACTGACTGGTTGTTAAATCTGGCACCAAAAACTGATGTATTGTATCCCATAAAGGGATCTAAACCCAAGGGGGAAAACATTAACATTATGGTAAGGGTCTTAATCAAAAGGCATAGAGAGCAACACACAAGAAAAAACTAAACACAAAGGACTTATTGGAGACAGTTTCATGACCCAAAATATAGACAGAAAACACAACCTCACATGTCAATAAAAATGGGACGTGGAGGTAAACATGGAGCAACATGAAAATAGAGCTTTTCTAACATTATTATCTTGTATTCACAGGTGACTGAATACAAGTCAGTCACCTGAAGACATCTTTCTTTTATCTCTTATCATGGTTGAATCAGACCGAGAAACATTTATGTTTAGGAGGGGGGTTGTTTTCCTCCCTCCTCAACAACAAATTTTCCCCGCTCATGTCACCCTTCTCATGTCACTTTCACAGCATGACTACTTTAAAGCATGTGTGACAGGGGTCTCCTCTAGTGGGCAAACCTCCAAAAGCACCAATTCAAGGTGTCATGTGGCATCACTGGCAGAGTAAATCAATCCTGACAATCAGTTCAAGGGTTTAATTTAGGTTCTGTGATGTTTAAATAGATTGCCATTTTGTCTGTAGAAGACTTTTATTGATGCTTTTATTGATGCTTAATTGTTGCTTCATTACGTTTATACCCTAAACGTATAAACAAATACTGAGAGAATAGTGCAATAAAAGCAAAGCAATATGTTAAACTTGAAAATTATGTTTTATGTTCTATGTAATATTGAAGTTTCTGAGATCTTATGTATGAAGCATTCATATCCAGAAAAAATGTGTGGCACCATATTTTACAAACAAGCATTAAAATTAACATGGTGTGAAAGTTTGCATAAATATTCACAAACTTCTTACCTGCCGTAAAAAAATTTTGTTGACAAAGCACTGAAACTCACCTGAATGCAATCTGGATCTAATTGTTATTTCACTCAAGGAGCATCAAACCCAATGTTTTTCATGCTTTTATTTTTTAGAAGGAGCTGTGCATCAATAGTGCTGATGTAGGTGGAGCTGCTGACAGGTTGTGAATGCGCCTCCATTCCGAAAATGTGCAATTTATATGAACTAAAGTGCCTAATAAATGTAGTGGCACATCGGCCTGGTTCAACACTTGATTCCTCTATTTGGAATCCCATATTTTAATTTCCCCACAAAGGACGATCTGACACGCTGTTTGTCTTTAAATCCCAGCTTAACACTCTGTTGCTCAAACAAGCATTTCTACTTGGATTAATCAACACTCCAATCTCTTATTTCCTTTTTTTAAATTTGGATTTATTGTTTTTCCCTGTAAAATGTATTATTATTGTTGTTTTAATTTTTTGTTAAGTGAACTTATGTGACCTGAAAGACGACTTTTTAAAGATATGTTCAGACGACGGGGCGGCGGAGGGGCCTTGAGCCACTACCCCTTTTAACTTGACACCCCAAGTGCCCTTTTCAAGGTTCTTTTGTTTCATATTTTTTTTATCTGTGTGTGAGGAGTTCTGCTTGTGCTCCTTAACAATAGCATTTTTCTAAAAATCATAATTTAGCAAAACAAGTTAGTATGGCTGCCCTAAGTCTAAAAATGAGGATTCTCAGAGCCTCTGTTGTTAAGACACTAGGCCCATATCAAGGGCAGGGACCCTGGGGGTGATGACAGAAGGACCCGACCAGAAGCCCTGTTGTGGAGGACACTCCTGCAAAAAATCCCGTAAACTCCCAATCAGCTAAAACCTGAAGACATGAGGCTGAACATGTGCTTAACAAATGAAACAATTATTTGAATAGTGAAGAAAAATGAAGAAAAAAACCCATTGTAACAGTCAGTGTTTCTTTCCATATGTTGTAGCATTATTTGTGAGTTTACAAAGGGGGTCCATGCACACAAGCTACTGTTCAATGGGCCATGGTATGGAAATGTTTGGGACCACCTGCTGTCTTCAACATAATTTTGGTTGATCTGATGAATGTGGGCAACCTCGAGACATTGTTACATAGTTACAACCAAATTTGTGGGTTTTGTACCTTCTCAAAGAGTGTGCTGACCTCTGTATATAGTGACTTTCACTTCCTGTTTGAATTGATTATGAAATGCTCCATCAACTGACTGAACTCTTTGCTAAATCCATGACACTACTAATAACCTTTGCTGAATCAACAGAACACCGATCACTGTGTACCAGACTAGGTCCAAATCAGACCACTGGTACTTGGTGCTTCACCATTTTATTTAAATGAATATGAATAAATGCAGTTAAATTTTAACAGCTCAAGAAGATCATCAAGTTCAGGCTTCCACAAATTGAAGGACAGTAGATTAATATACTTAAATTATTTAGGTTATTTCCTGATATTTGTTGGTTCTAGAATATCTGCCAAGAACATGAACTTAATCTCAAATGAATCAGAAAGTTCCAGACCAAATTATTATTAATTTTGCCATAATTGTGAGTTTTCTTTTTTTTTTTTCTGACAGCTTCTGAATGTATGAACTTCAGCGTAAAAGAACAAAACAAAGACAACTTTTGTTGCGGCATGAAGTTTTATTCATAACATGACCTTGATCTTATGTTTCCTTTTTCATCACATTTTCTTTCTCCACACTCCACCATCTATTGAGCAAAGGCTATTATAATTTTAGCTGTATATTATAATTTGGAATGCCCTAATTAAACCATGGCGTTTCATCTTTTTAATCGAATGCTGCTGATTGAATTTGAGTGACAGTAACTACCATTGTCTGTAAAACCCTGGGGAAGTTTTCTATTAGACATTTTCAGCCTTCATTCCCTTCACTATGGCTATTTCAAGTTATTATTGCCTTTTCAGTTAATATACTTTGCTCGAATGTAAAGTTATCCCATTATGTTCTGATGATATTGGTTTCAAAAGCATTTTGCCATCATTGTGTTTGAGTTAAGTTGATCTAGCACAGTGAATTTCTCTATGTCCAAACCAAAAGGACAAACATGTTGTTGTGCTCCCTTTAAAATGGTGGATTCCACCTCTTTTTAATAATTAAAGGCTTTCAGATTTAAAAATGTACAAAAGAGGAAAAGGAAGACTTCAGAGCAAAACTAAATGCAGCTGCATCACAATCCACTTCAAGCTCAGTTGAGATAAAAGAAGTGGTTTGTTGCAATTTTAGTCAAAGAAGTTATGAATAAATTCTGGTCAACTAAAAAGATGCAAGTGTTTCAGTCTTGTCAGAGTCTTAGTTTAAGCCTGAGGGAGCAAAGGTCACTTAGGAGCAACTATCTCTGGCTGACTCCAACAGAAACGGTGGCCATACGATGCTGATCCTCATCTTTGAGGAAAACAATGCATAGAGTGTGGTCAGGAAAAAAAAAACAGTGATCACCAAAACATTTCGTGACATGAAATCGAGAAAAACAACAGCAAAACTCTGGGATAAGTAAGGGTATTTCCACACAATGTGAAGAGAACTCCAATGATTACAGCAGTAACCTTAAGAAAACCACAGATCAGTGATCAGTGGGAAACTGGAAAAAATGCCTTTGATCTGAAACTGGGTTCTAGAGTGATGGAAGGTCACATGATCTGATAAGTCCAGATTTGCCTCCGTCCAGAGTTACGGGCGCATCAGGGTAAGAAGAGAGGCAGAAGAAGAGATGCTCCCATCTTGCCTCGGGCACTCTGTGGGGCAGCCCTAAGATCAGAGGTTGCTGCTGCTGGTCAGAATCTCCCATCATCAATACAAGAGTTAATGCAACACTGGATGGCAACAAATCTGGGTACATTGCAGAAGCTTATGGAAGCAACTCCA